CCTTAGATTCGAGTCAGTTATAACACCGTGAATATTATTATGAAAGTAAGCAATAGCTTATTCTTGCCAATAACTCTCTTAGAAAAATTGTGTAGGTCTTAATTTTGAATATAATAATCGCAGCTCAAGAAAAAATACATCATTGATTAATACAGCCAGCAATGCAGTAATTATCTATTTATGGCGCTTGTACTGCTATAAACTTATGTACATTGTCAGCAGTTCTAAGTATAGATAGGCTACTACGAGTATTATATTATATGTATGTATGTATTAACTGGTAACTTTAATGTTTATAATTATCATAATTATCTATCTACATTACCAGCCATCATCATAATTTTAGTTGCAGACTGTACCATGAATGAGATAGTTGATAACATATGACCTAAATCACAGTTCAAAACTTTAACACGTAAACTGTTTCTAAACGAAGTATTAAATGATTTGGCGTAAGGAGTTATGTATCATAAGGAATTTATTCTAGTCGATAGTAAGATGGAGTAAAAGTTTTTGGTTTAGTTATTTACACATTATGTATAAAGAAAACCAGAAAATCCATGTAAGAATCTCAGAGCAGTTCTCTTCCTGATGACATTTGGGACACAAAAGTCATCAGGGTCATATTATTGTTTAGCGCAAAGCACGTCATTTTTCTTCTAAAAAGGTTTATGCTACTTTCAGACCTTAATGTTATTGACGATACTCTATGGTTTCAGAAGATGATGTGCTCTATGTTTAAACCACAAAGAATTTAGTTAAATTGCAGGCGTAATTAACTAGATAAAAGGATATAAAAAACACAGTAATCTAACATAACAATCCGATAATGCAAGAAAATAATCAAACTAACTACAGCTCTTTGCCCATCAAATATCTGAAAAATAACTTATAAATAATATTATGTTTGGTGAACATTACCTTTGTAAACCGTGTAGTATTTTTTCCTGTCAAGCGGTTAAAGGTCCTGAGTGATGAATCAGACCGTAACGTTTCTCTCCGAAAGCTGCCAGCAAAGATCTTGAAATTACCTGCGGCAAGGATTACCTAACTCGTTGATCGTTAAACGTTCGGTGAATGGAGTTTCTTGCGAATGTCAATCTATCATTTCCTGTGAATATAGAATTTATTTGACTAACTAAAATCTAAAATCGGTGACAGGGAGCAAATATTGAGTCTGAGCTATAAACCTGATTAATAAGACTAGTTAAACATGTTTTTATTTTATTAATTATCGACGTTTTATACACTTAACACATACAAAAAGATGAGTTAGTTAGTTGTGGACGCAAACCTTTAAAAAAAAATAACTTTTATATTTAAATGATTTATTAGAAATATTTGTAAATATGTTATTACAACAGACACTTTTTTTTGTTTAAAGTAATTTTATTATTAAAATACTTAATCAAAAGGTTTAATTTACTCAAGTTTATGGCCATTTCGGAAGGAATACGCGACGACGTGGAACGACGTAGCGCCAAGGGATCGAGTCGATTCTAGATCTTTTGGCTATCGACGATTCGAGTCGCACTTCGTTAGATGTGGTCCAGAGGGAGAAGCTGGTACTGGGGTGCCCCTACATAGAGATGAGAACTTGCGCCTTTTAAAGTTGGAGACGGTGAACCGGAGTGAAATAAAGCCTCGATCGGTTAAGCACACCAAGCTTCTTCGAAGCTAATTTGACTTTACCCTCTAAATGACCCCGAAACTGAACTTAGGAACCTAGGATCCCGATACTGGCTGAGGCAGTTAGGGATGTGCTCTTAAACCGAGGTGATACGACCAACGGTATCTTCTTTGCTGTGAACGCCCAAATCTGTGTATTATTTGGGTTAAAATGGACTAGATTTACTCGACCCCAATCTGAAACTGAAGAAGTTTCAATTTTGAGACACAAGTTAGTTTCGACTCTCGATGACGTTTTCCCGAGAAATATTGTGGCGGTCGGTATAAAGGACATTTCCCGTACTATCATCCACCAGAAGAAATAGTGTGGGTAATAGCCCACAGTTTTGCGGGACACCAGCATTTATAATTTGCTAAATAATATTGTTTGTTTAATAATTAATATAGATAATTTTAGTACACTATGTCATCTAAAGTTATGTTAAATTCAGTAAAATGTTTGTTAATAAAAGAGACTAGTTGCTAAAACCGTTGTATAAATTGTAAACAGAGGATGTTATAATGAAACGACCAATTAGACTACCGATCGTACAAAAAAGAACAAATAATTTTAAGTGTGTATTTTATTGATATAGACTCCGAAAGTGGTAAAGTGGTAAACTTTAGCGCTGACATAGTCGTAACAATCGGCGGTCTTATCGCTTAACACGGATATTAAGTACTTAAAAATTTAGACAAGACGAAGTTATAGATATTGTTTAGATTTATTTTAAATTTATATATAGTTTAGATTAAGATATAGTTTAGATATTAGTATTTTGTTTTAGTATTTAGTACATTGTCGTAAGAGAGCAATACTTCGTTACAAATGATTCGGCTTGACCGGAGTGATACAACAGCCCCACAGAAAATTGGTTTTAGGCAATTCTTTCATCGCTTCACCGACTAAGTTAGGTTACCAGAACGAAACCTCCTTCTCCCCTTGATTCTGAGATAAGGGACTCACAGGGCAGCAACTCACTTGAGGCTCTTGAGTTGGAGGTGTCTATAGGCAGCGGTTGTTACTTACCATTAGGTGATCCGCTTACTTGTTTGCCTTCTTATACCATTAAAAAAAACTCTATCCGCAATCCCAATAATATAACTACATAATTTACTGTAAAAAAAAAATCCATTCCTTATTTTTTTACCCTTAGGGGTAGTATTTTTTCTACAAACTTAGATAGAACTAAAGGAGAAGGTTTGTTAGGTTCCAAATAAAAAAGAATATTACAAATCGGTTTATAAATGATGCAGTTTTCATGTAAGATACAACAGAAGTGAGAAACTCCTTGAAGTCGATTAAAAAGGAATTGAAACTTTTATATTTACGAGTAGTAATAATAACGTATAATAAATAAACCTAATCAAGTGCATGTCCAATCACGCGCAGTTTAGGAATCCTTAGTTGATTACTACCTGTTTTAAACAAGTCACAACGTCACTTGCCTAATTTTTTTCTAAGATTTTTTTTAAACTAACTGAGCTAACTTAGACGCGATACTTTTTTAGTCCATTACTTGTACTAGCATAGTTTATTTTAGTTATTTTCAAGCTAACATTTTAATTTATTGGACGATTATGAATAAAATATATACCAAATCAGATTACAGCTTTCTAGTACCATCAGTGTTTAAGAAAAGCCGCCTGCGTAATGAGAACAAAGCGATATAAGGGTACCTTGTTGAGACTACGCAGCCCTTAAAATAGTGCTAATTTATGAATCTACAAGTTACATCTTTTTGCTCATCTTGGAAATAAATATGTCTTCTATACTCAGACAAAAGGAAAGCATTTTGTTTTACTGCATAACCAACAGTTAGCGAAGTAGTGTTTAGTAAAGCTTTGTAGCTTCCGTGGAAGCTAAAAACAGCAAGGACTAAACACAAACTTATGAAGAAGTTATCTTCAAAGAAACGCTGATATACACTCGTACTTTTGGTGATTTTATTGATGATGGTCGTGAAATTCGAATTCTTATTTGAAGTCAAATTATAACAGTTTTAGTTAAAAAATCTATAAACATACTCGTATACCATAAGTTGCTTAATTAGTCCATAATTTATGAATATATAATAAAAAGATTTGCTAACTAAGATTTCGGTAGTTGTTGTAATCAAGCCTAATTAAATCGTAGATGGATTTATTTAGATAGTGAAATTAATATTGTCATATTCGATTATATTATTATACGGTTACAATGTTGCGATGTGATGAATTAGGAGAAGCTACAATTAGTTGTAGGTTTACATAGTTACTTAAAATATTGACTTTATTACTAGTTTTAATACTTAAACAGATTTTTCCTAAAATGAGTATTTTTAAACATTTTTTTTCTATTTGAGTCCAATCATTAACTCAATAATAAGGATTTACTTGAACATGAAAATTGAGGAACTTAGACATGCAATAATTTATAAACTATTTGTTGACAAACGACTGTAATTTGGAAATATTTCTAGTTAAAATCTAAATTAAAGCTTAAGCGTGAAAGCGTAACAAACAAACTTGAGACTTTAACATTTGAAATATAAGTATGGAAGTATGGATGGGTAGCAACGATGCGCTAGAAATAAAATTAATTAGTTAATATTTTAGAATCTCTGAAGCCTGAGCGAAATCAATTTGTTCATAAGTTATTGTTATCACGTGCAAAAATTTAACATCAAATACAAAATGGTGATAGAAGTTTCAATTATTACAAATTTAGCAGGTACTTTATACGTTAGTATACCTTAGTTATAAATTAATATGTAATAACTTTTGTCCGCTTTTGACTATTGTCTTATATTTCTTATCTGAATATTAATTAAATTTTCAAGAAAGCTCACCTTATTTCTCAGATTTACGTTAGTTAACTAATTTAAAGTCACGCTAGACTCTACCTAACAGAGACACAACTATACCTTACCGTAACACAATCAATCGTCAACAATTTATCTCAAATAAATCATTTGAAACATGATAATGTACGAAGTTCTAAAAAATTCCAATTTTGGTAAAACAATGCAATAATAGGTAACAGATGATATATAACCACAATTACTCATTATACTGAAAAAGGTTTCTTGGTTACTTCACATACTAACTAATTCCGTTTTTAGAACCTAAATTCGCAACACGTTCCTAATTACAGTTTCTCAAAAGCAAGTATGTAACATGTCTATTCGCGACATACATTTTGGGCGTATATTTTGTGACAGGGTTCTAACAAGCTGAACTACATTTAGTACTTAAGTCTAAAGGCTGGCGCGGGGGTAACGAGTAAAGTATAAAAGTGCTTGTGTGCACTTACTCGATATCACTTGCCGTAGTGGATTTTATATAACAAAATGGCAGCTAAGGTATTTGTTTTAAAGTGATTAAGTGCATATTTATATTAAATGTTTTGAGTGTCTTATAATAAATACTTACAGACAAGAATTTAAAATCTAAATGAGACATAAAAAGTTTTGTTAACATATAACATGATTTACATATCTAAATGATAAAGTATATTGTATGATAAAGAGTAATAAATCAACATAAAATCGTAAACAAGAACAGGTGTATTAAAAACCAATTAATTCAATACACTACTCTTTTAATAAATAAGTAATCTAAATTAATTCTTATTTAAACGGCCGCTTTTCTATTACTCTGTATCCTAATCTAAATCTTATTACTAAGTAATTCAATCTTTCTATTGCAGTTAATAGTCTTCCTGTGCGCTGTGGCAGCTGCCCGTGGGGGTGGTTTGTACTCAGCTCCTCTAACTACATACGCCGCAGCACCAGTTTATAAAAGCTATGCATCACCTGCTTACGCAACGTACGCTGCGCCAGCGTACTCTGCGTACTCCGCCCCAGCGTACTCTGCATATTCGACGTACGCGGCACCCGCATACTCTGCTCCAATAGTGAAGGCCGTCGCCCCTGCGGTCTCATCTATCTCGTCTTACTCAACACAGACGTCTCACGCTGCGCCTTATGTGGCTAAAGCAGTTGCAACTTACGCTGCTGCACCTGTCGCCACTTACGCCGCGCACGCCGCTCCCGTCGCCACATATGCAGCTCATGCTGCCCCCCTGTCTTACGCCGCACACGCTGCCCCTCTGACATACGCAGCACCCGCAGCCTCTTATGTGACTAAGACATTCGCGGCTCCCGCAGTCTCTTACGCACAATCTGCACCTCTATATACCAAGACCATTGCTCCTGTCGCCGCATACGCCGCTGCTCCCGTTGCAACTTATGCTGCCCATGCTGCTCCGTATGCCACATACGCCGCTGCACCTGTAGTGAAGTCCCTGACCTACTCTGCAGCCCCCGCCGTCTCTCATGTGTCATACAACGGTATCGCTGCCAACTACGGCTGGTGATCATCTACGTCTGTAGAAATCTAGTTGTTTCTGTTTTGTATATATGTATATCGTTTCATACAACGCGAATAAATTTTTTAATAACCATTTACTATGTGTTTTCATAGCTCCAAAGAGCTAGACCCTTTGAACTGCTGGAGAATAATGGTGATGTCTGTCGGTATCGTCAACTTACTAAAATATTGTTGTTACTTTAACTCATTTTTGTTTTTAAAAAACAAGTTATCCTGATAAAATCTAACTTAGTTTCTTATTACATAGCCAGGAGGGTTGATTTACGGTACAACTTCTTATCTTTAAGCTTTTTTCCTCTCTGCTAAATAAAAGGGATATATGTTACAGGGAGTCTTTATCAAGATTGATTACTTTCAAACGTATTTGCAAAGTAAACGGAAAATTGATCGCTTTCCTTGTCTAAGTAGAGTCAATAAAAAGTCAATAAAATTGATTTCTTAAGAAATCTTTCCGCAATTTAGTATTTGGATTACTTGCTGGTAACAAGCGGGTGTGTACTTTTAAACACATTGTAAACTGGGTCATGCCCTAGCAAGTTTCCTTAAATATATTACAGTTGTGTATTTTTTGCTGGGTATTTTGATACAATTTTAATGTAGTCTTTCAAAGTACAACTACATACAACAACAATTACATTACTAAGTATGTTTATTTAAGCGCACAATTTACACTAAATAATTATAGACATTAATGTGTTTTTGGCAACTCAAACAAGCCATAACAATAGGTTCTCGTATTTTAATACGAAGATATGTATCATTAAAATATCATATTGTTTTTACACGGCCATGTTGAAAGCATTGAAGCACCTTGACCCATGTCACGCAACTAGTGATGCCATCTTTGCGAGCTGGGATGAAAATGATATCAGCCTTTTTATTTCTCACCTGACATAGATTGGATTTTAATAGTGTTTTGTGCGTGTTCTACAACAAGTTAAAACCCGATAGGGCTAGGGACTGATGTTTAGTTTTTTGGTTGTAAGCAGCTCGTGAAGTCTTCATTTACCTGACAAAATTATACATGACTTCATTTACATGGGACAGAACTATGGCAATGCTCACTTACTTTTCTGTCCCAGTTTAAGTTAGTTCGATGATGTCCAGAGGTATTAAATATTTACTTTTTTGATCTAGTTTTCTTTTGTCTAACTATATTATTTAGAATTGTTACTGCAGTTCAACGGAATAAAACAAAGGAGTAAATTAAATTGTATTATTTTATACAGTCAAGTTCTTAAACAATGTATTGGTAAATTGGCAACCAAATAAGTAAGCGAATTTTGTTTTTGACTATTTTACCCTCTCAGATTTAACTCTAGCGATCCTACTGACTACACGGATGGCGTATTAGTTTAAGCGGTCGCCACGCCGCTGCCTACTACGCCGAGTGTTGTGGGTTCGACACATTGTGTGATCCACAAATTGTTGTTCTGAGTCTAGGTGTTCTTTGTGTCCGTTTCATGTTTGTTTGTTTGACCCCTGTGACACAAGATATATTTGTAATGCGGGAGTTGTCTTTTAAAAGTGAAATACAAGAAAAATCATTCAATCGCGCTGTTCGCTTTATCCTTATTGTTACTGCCTCATAGTCCTTTTAAACTAGTGACATGTAAAACGATATACTAGCAGATGAAACTAGAGTAGGAATTAATTATATTACTACTGATTTTTTATTTTCATCTATCAATTAAATTACAAGTACAAAAGTTATCTACAAATAGCTCAGCCCTATAATTACCTTTAAAGTACAACAAGGTTTCAAAGAAACAGGCTACATTAATACGAATGTTGTTTAATAACTTCTTTTAGTATTTGCAAACTCAGTTTAGTTAATAAGTACAGGATACTTAAACTTAAATAATAATAATCTTTATTGTTATAAGCAACCTTAAACAGTTTTCTATCTATCTATATATACATATATATATATATATATATATATATATATATATATATATATATATATATATATATATATATATATATATATATACACTTATAATGTATTTCGCTAAAGACGTGGAATTGTGGCATTTATGTAAAGTTTGAAAAGTATGAAAGACAGATGATATTAATTTACCAATTAATAAGTATTCGATAAAAATAGACACTTAAACTAGTTCATACAATGGAGGTGACAATTTTTTTAACTCTATACGCTTATTTAAAAACTACACAATAACATATCCATTTTCTCTAACTAACATTATAGATGCGAAAATGAGTTGGTTTTGGTCGTTACAGTTTCCTGATTTAAATTGTACGGGAACAGAATCCGAGAGAAAGTACTTTTTACAGAAAGAAAAATGTTTTTACGTTGACAAAATCTAGATTAAAATGTTTTTGTCACAAAAATTGCCATAATTCGCACACCACTAAACTTGGCTCGCAATGTTAAATTAGTGCATTACGACCGGATAGATATTTTAGATTCCGTGTCAAAGATGGCATCTTTACGATGTGGTATGTCATTTCAGCTTAATTAACTTTTATAACAAGTATAATTAACCCATGTTATGTGTCAATGCGGTTTGCTCTTAATTTATTTCGATTGTTAATCCTACCCACATTATTTTTAACTTACCCTGCTTCTCTGTAAAAGGGTGTTTTAGCTATTATATGTAAGTATTCTAAGGATAATAAATTTTATGTATTAAAACTATATCTGGATATATCAACACGATATAAGTGATTTTTTAAACTAAGAATATAAGCTTATCGTGGGAGAGCCATATTTCGGTACAAATCAGATCGAAGGTATGTCACAGCGGTGTTCAGCACTTCTTTCATTGATTTTCGGGCACGGAAAAATGTAAAATTACGAATACTTTGAGTTCGCGTGTTGAATAAAGTTACATAAAAAGTTACAGGCGCTTAATCTTTGTACGGAGAGTCTATAGGGTTTTCCAAAAAGAGGTGTTATTTTAGTATTCAAAGAAAAATGCATTTTTTTAAGATAAATAATCGGCTGTTTATTTTATAATAAAGAGGAAGGTATGCCGTTAATAATGGAAGATAACATCAGCCAAATGGCTACCACGACCACGCTTACAGGACCATATCCTTTTAATGAAATTTTGCATAACCAAATCGCAAAGTGGCTGCCCTATGTCCTCGATCGCCTCACGAATTCTATCTTTGAGGTCTTGAATTGACGCTGGGCTGTTGGCGTAGACCTTATCTTTCACGTGGCCCCAAAGGAAGAAGTCGAAACTTTTCCGGTAAAAGAGCAATGGTTTCGTTGCTTGTGTGGCACGGAGCGCCGTCTTGTTGAAAGCAAACGTTGTCCAGATCAATACCATCCAACTCCGGCCATAAAAAATAATTAATCAAATCTCGATAGCGCAATCCATTCACCGTAAGTGTTGATCCAACCTCATTTTCGAAAAAGTAAGGTCCAATGACCCCGCCGGACCATAAACCGCACCAAACAGTCACACGTTGAGGATGGAGAGGCTTCTCAACAATAACTCTTGGGTTTTCCGAGCCCCAGATGCGACAATTTTGCTTGTTGACATAGCCTCCTAGGTGGAAATGGGCCTCATCAGTCAAGATGATTTTTCGATGGAACTCCGGATCATTTTCATGCATTTCAAGTACCCAATCAGCAAAGACACGACGTTGTTGATGATCGACCGGCTTGAGTTCTTGTGTTAACTGAACTTTAGAAGCCTTAAGACCCAAGTCTTTATGCAAAATACGGTGTAATGACGTTTGTGGAATGCCCAATTCCAAAGAACGACGAGGAATGAACAAACCTGCGTTTTCTTCAACACTTTGGGCTACAGCAGCAATATTCTCAGTTGTTCTTGAGCGACGTGCACGGTTTTTATTCTTCACATCACTAACTTGTCCCAACAGCTCGAATTTTTCCACCAATTTCTGTATTGCGGTCGGACCAAAAAATGTTTTAGTTTTGCGAACTGTGACTGCAAGATTTTCACCATTTTTGTAGTGAATTTTAATAATTTCAATGCGTTGTTGAAGTGTGTATCGTTCCATTTTTAGTAATGGCGTAGTTTCTACTTGTCAAATGTCAAAAAATAAAAGCTTCAAAAGTGACAGCTACCGAAATACCGGGTGATTCAAAACAACACCTCTTGTTGGAAAACCCTTTATAGGTACAATGATACATCTATTCGTTACAATTAAATCTATTGAATATTGGCCAAAAGGCCAGTCGACTTATGGGACAGACTGTATGCGATTCAGCGTTTTCCATACAGTATCTAATATATGAATATGTAAATTGAATGTTTTGTTATTTATTTTGACCTATCATTGAACAAAAGTCTAAATAATAAAAATACAAGTTCATGACATGACATGACATTCTAAATGGTCGAAATGCAAACGCCAGTTGATTGTCATCATTCTTGATTGAAAAATACTACCCTGTGCTTTGTCAAACAGTTATTAAAGTACACAGAGTTGGCTTACATAAAGTGATATAAGAATATTTTCATTTTTATTTATTACAGACGCTAGAAGTTTCCGCAATGAATATAAAGTTATTCAATGGTGATACTATTCATCTAGAAAATAAATATTTGGATATTTGCCAAAGGATATTATCTCGCTTTTCCGCAAGAGAATTATATATTATATCCACATATGTATTTACATCGTAAATCAATGCTCTCTGAACTGTCCACACGGACACCTTGGCATTTCAGATATCAAATGTGGTAAGCTGACTTTATAATTTCATGAAATACCCAATATGTGATATATGTTTATGACTTTTTGATCAACCTTTTCGAATAATCCTCGATAACTTTAACCAGATTAAAAAAGGAATCTATATTTCCCAGATTTTTTCAACAGCAATGAATCTTTTATGTTTTAGCTTATACATTAAATTAATTATACATTAAAATAAATTACATTTTAATACAAAATTATAATTTGGTTAAAATCGTCTTTTCTTAATTTTATTTTTGATTTAAGATTTAAGATGTATGTTTTATATTTTAAGTCTTTCCTACATCTATGTGACGTCGTGCTTAAAATAAGAGTTGATACGGAATATGAAATATTATAGTATTGGTAGTATAGTATATTATAAACGTACACAAACAACACACTACATATGTAATGAATCACATTCTCCATTTAATACGATACTTGAGTTAAAGCCATCCACTTTATTAAAAGGTCGAAATATTGATGACATCGCATTACCGACAGTATCTACACTTGTATTATTAAGACAGAAAAACATACATCAACACCTATACTAGCATTAAAGCTAAGCCCATATGGAATCTTCACTCAAATCAATATTCTCAGAATTGTAGCTATTGATTTGAGTGAAGATCATCATCAGCCTACTCTCATCCTCCTGAACGAAGGCCTCCCCCAAGGAGCGATAACCAGTCTTGGTCAATCCCCATCCATCCGCTGCCAGCTATTTTCCTCAACACAATACTAAGAATACTAAGAATACATACGGTGAAATAATAAAGTGTTGTAGCGAAAGTAAGGTCAAACTGTATAACAACTATCATTTCTGCAATACAAGTGCAGCTATCTTGTAGATTCTCTTCTAATGCTTCTAAAACGCTGACACAGTAATAGTTCATACCCTAGTTATCAATCCTTAAAACAATGTTACAATAAGACTGGGTCACGAATCTTCATTTCTAACGTCCTCCTACCATTGAACGGCACGTAAAACCCCCACGAGTAACGTTTGCAACGAACTGGCCAAAAGATGACCTTGACGCTGATAGTTAACCTTGTGCGTATTTATGACCGACTTCTAAAGTAAGATGTTATCAATTAGGCATTTTTTTTAGTTTTGCTAATGTACGCATACGCACAAGTACTGTGTATGTACAAATGTTATGTATGTATTATTATAATATCGTATATCTTTCGTAATTTTTTTTGTTGGAACGTTATAAAATAAAAATAATTAAATTGCTTTAGTTTTATAGAAGACAGAAGCCTCCGAATTGTACATATCAACGGTATCTACACTCAGACTGGTTAAAATTAGTGATTTTTTATTATGCATATGCGTAAGTGACATTATGTATAATTTGACACTTGTCTTGTATTTTCTATTTGTACATTGTAAGTTTTGATTAATATATCAACAATATACAAAACCTACCTGTAAAACAGATAGAAAATAAAGACTTTTTGAAACATATAAACCGATTAAAGATTTATTTAGTGTTTGAAAGGTCAAAAATTTCTTCCGACAAGGGACGTGTTACTTGATTATTTACAATAACTTAAATGCAAGCTTCTTATTCAATTATAATCACCATTTCGGAGCAATTTTAATGAACTTAAACAACATTTACATAATATTGTAAAACGTTTATATTGTGACAAATATTTTCAAAATTAACATATTAATCATATGAAATCGAAGCCAATCATAAGTCCATGTTCAAATCACATAAATCTATTTAATAAACCTCTAATTGTAAATAACAAAACGTGAAGCAAATTGCCGCTACATGTTATCAGTTATGTTCAATTAATTTAAAAAAATAACCACAGGGCATGATTGGTTAGGTACACTGACGAAACCAGGCATATAATAATGCATGTACATTTCTACACATTGGCGACTTAGTCGTGACTCGACACAAGTAGCCGACAAGCTTTTAGGTCAACGAACTTTGAACCGCTTTTGACCTTACAATTTTAAAAATACTAATAGACAAACAAATCCAGTAGTATTTATTTAAACTATAAGTTTTAAAATGCAACAAAAATTATAAGTGCAATAACAGACACTGTACATTTTAGCAATTCAGATATCGTCGAATGAACATTCAAATTTAACCTAGAAATGAAGTAAATGTCGTAGGTGCATCCTTTAAATATCAAGCTTACATCCTTGGTGTGTAAATAAGCGGATTAATGTGCTATTAATTTTTAATTTATTAAATCAATATATACGAGTACATACTACTTAGACTATACTTCGTAGTGGTAATATCTCCCTATTGGTCCTTGCTCCTTTAATATCTGCTTCACATCACATCAACAGCCATTAATACTCCTCTGCTGGACATAGGCCTCTCCTTAGAAAGGAGGTTTTGGCCAACTATGCCACGCATGGTTGGTATAGGGTTTGTTTTAAGTTTTCCTTCTTAATATCTGCTTCAGTTAACAATTTTAGAGATAATTTATTCTTATATTACAAAGATAATCTTTAAATAATCACTTTTCTAATTTGTTGTCTATTGCTTTAACTGCAGTTACCTACTATGTCCTAACATATTACAACATGTAACCGGTATAAGTATAAAAAATTGCAATAAAAGTCGTTTAATGACATTATGAAATTGTGTTAAAGAGCATACATAGGTATATAATGATTCATTGCTTATATACACTATTGCTGCAAGTAAGTATTATGATGTACCTTTGCAACACAGCTTTGCTTGCTTAAAAATTATTTATTATTGCCTCTGGAAAACAATTTTATTCTGAATAAAAAGCACCCAAAGTCTTTTTTTTGTATAATTAAGACATGAAAATGTAAAAAACAAAGGAACTAATGCGGTAATCGCTTACCATTAGGTGAACCGTCTGCTCGTTTGACCCACACAATTACAGAAAAAATGATTTTTTGTTATGACCTACTTAATAATTACAACGTACATGAATAATTGAAATATCTTTTAAAAATATAAAGTTATAAAATATAACACAGGCCCCGGGGGTAAAATAACTTTGTGTCTTAGCTAATATCGGGGATTTTACGAATACGCAATTAATGGAGTCAAGACTAAGAAATATAATTAGTTTTATTAAGTAAACAATAAAAAAGACTTCACAAAAGCCGTACTCAATTATAAATACTGGACATTATTACACGTGTGAAAATCGTCACAAACAAAAAAACAAGTTAACTTAACCATCGAAATAACTAAAAAAAATCTATCACGCGATGGACCCAACACCCGCACGGTGAATCCAAGGAACACCGAGAAATAGGTCTGAACAATACAAACCATTCTCCTGTGTAAAACGTGACGCTACAACCCATGGATATCGTGGTAAAACTTCGTAGTAACTAAGAAAACGAGGGAAGAAGTAGCTTAGGGACTCTATTCACGATACGATATTTGAGTACCCAAAGCTTCATAAGAAACAAGTATGTGAGTGAATGTGAAAGATAAATGCTCTCTTAACGACAATATTACAAGCAAAATCATCATTCATAAAATAGCATCAGTCGCATTACAATATTAGGACTTCTCCTCACAATGTTAACCAAGTAAATAAATACGGTACTGACAACTGCAGAATATACTGACTGACTGACTGAGATAATGGCTGCACGGATGGCGTAGTGGTTTAAGCGGTCGCCACGCCGTTTCCTACTACCCCGAGTGTTGTGGGTTCAAACCCCACATGGGACGACACTGTGTGTGATCCACAAATTGTTGTTCTGAGTCTGGGTGTTCTTTGTGTCCGTTTCATGTATGTTTGTAGAGTCCCCCGCGACACAGGATATATTCCTAATACGGGAGTTGTATTATTAAAAAAAAAAAAAAAACATACATCGGTACCCGAAAGTTGCTACTCTTTGTTCATTAACAGTCTTATCGAATATGTTCTAACCTGTGAATAAAGGCTTTGCAGTTAAAAATAAAACTCACAAGAAATCACATTTTGCGCGTCTTTAATAGTCTTAAGTGATTTATTAACTGCGAGATATCTGTTTACTTCCGCGGGCTTGAATTAAAATTCATTAATTGTAATATAAAAACACGTTTCAACAAAAACAACTTGAAATTGCAACCAAAAACCAATGGGGATGACCCATTGCTACATAAATGTTTCCACTTCCTTTTTAATAAACAGTTACTTAAAATGAAAATTAGTTCACCTTCAGTTCACATTTTTATTATATAATGTTACACACACAAACATTTTAATTTTAAAAAAGACCTTATGCACAATGTTTGTAGTACAATTATGCGCTATTTTGCTAGAATCATCTAAAAACTTGACAATAGCGAGGCCACTTTGTTTTGTGGATTCGTTAACTATATAAGCTGACAATTTCGCTTTAATAAACATTCGGCACATCAAAAGCCAACAACGTACATCAAGATGATCGCTAAGGTAAGCACAGTGTTATTTGCACAATCAACTACATTTCATCGCGACCTTTCCGCAGGTTCAACTCACTTGCTTAGCGTCCAGACGTCTACAGATAAATAGTTTTACACCGTGTGATCTTTACAAAGGATTTGAAAATAAATGTATAAAATCAAAGTGCAAGATGTTCTGTTTCTAAATATGTCTAATAAAAAACTTAAATGTAAACTGAAATGATATCACGAGTGAGATTATTTAAAAGTGATTCATCTTATTGTTTTAATGAACAGGCTATGTCCCTGTCGAATATTGTACCTTGACACGTCAATGTGAAATAAGCCTTGCTAGCTTATTTTTAATTAATGACACATACCTACTTTTAGTGAGATATAAGTTGAAATTTAGTCACTATTTAATGCGTCTCTTATTAAACAAAAACTTAGCACCAGTTTGCTGTATACATCAAAGGGTATTTATAATTTTCACAAAATAATAGCGAGTAAATCTTAGGTACGTCATATTACCTATTCAAAAAAAAGACTAAGGTTTCGAAATACAATTTATACAAATTAAGAATAATATAGGTGCCTAAAGACAAAGATTGTAACAAGGATTTGAATTTTGCTGTGCAATGCGTATCTAAAATTAATTATTAAACAAAAGCAACACAATTTGGGATGGAATTATTAGACGCAAAAAGCATATTTAAAACATTTCACGGTCCGCTTAATATTAGCAAAATAAGGCCGTTGTGTTGTGTTGATAATTATGCTCATCGTAACAATTTTAAACGTAGTATGCAATATAACATCACAGCAAAAGCGTGAGGTTGAGGGTGCGCTTTTACGAAATAGGCCTTAAAAGCAATACTTTGAGTCAATTATTATTTTGTATGTATTATACAAGGCAAATCAGTTGTACAATAACCACTGTTTCGTTAGGTTTTCGGTGTAGCGCTTGCGAGAGCTATCATAACCTCTCTCTAACCTTGATAATTCTCACACAGCACTACCATCAATGGATTTCTTTACTTTGATTCACTTTTACCGTCTCATTTTATTTTTCTTATACTCAAACATATACCAAAAATCGAATTTTGATTTTGATTCTGTACAAATAAATAAAAATCAAAGTACCTATTAGTTTTAATTAATAGTTATATATATATATATATATATATCTATATATATATATATATATATATATATATATATATATATATATGTATATAAAGTACAGTACATAAAATTAATTAGTTTAGTTTTAGTTTAAATTTGCTAATGTTTGCACTGGCATATAGCTAATGTTATAACTGGATGATAGAGTATCTTATACTTTATCACTTTATTTCTATGAAAGGAAAAAAATAATAAATGCGCGAGTCAAACCGCAACAGGCACAGTGATAAATACTGAAATCGTTTTCATAGAAAATGAACAACTTTACTAATTGCCATAGTTTTTTAATTCGTTTTGTACTTTAAATTCTTGGGCCTATTGGTTTCGTGGTCAACGATCCTGATTGCTAAGAAAGAGATTCGATTCCCACGCAGTACAAATAATTGCGTTATGACCACGATCATTTGTTTTATCTCTAGAGTTATTTTTTTAGAATAATGTATGAATTTTTTCATATATATTTAAATGTTTATCAGCAGTCCGTTCACAAGCACTGACTCTGCCTAATTTGGAACCAAGCGGCCGCGTGAAATATGTCACATAAAAAATTACTGTTTACTATTTTTGTACCGACTAATGTCGTACGTCTCTATACAAAACGGTTCTACAAACTTAATATTTTATGCATGTCTTGCAAACAGAATGAGCCACGCCTTTGTTCTACCGTAATAGATCTTATTTTGTCTCTTATCTTGTAATAGTTTTATTCTAGTCGTTCTTTTGCTTTTGTCCGAAAACAAACATATTTTTTTCTTTATAGAACTAGATATTATCTCCATAGATTTCAATTTCATTATTATTTTATTTACTTTGAAAGGACCGTTATATTTTTGGCAGGTTTAGAATGTCTTGAATTGAATAATAAATATTGAATTGTCTTTAGTTTTGTGTGTACTTAATATTTTGTTATATTTATCTATTTAAAATTGAATCATTGTTCAAAATAGAAAAAGTAAAAAGAAAAAAAAGGAGTTGAAAACTCTTATTAAGTCAGATCAACTAATTTTTGCGCAGGTTGGTCTGGGCTTCTTCATAAATATATTTGGACAAACAAATATCATTAGGACACTGCTACTAACTTTAATTTTAGATAAAAGCTCTGCTTCCGAATTTAATGGTTAAGGTTTAGAAAGCTTATGTTTCGGAACCTTATCAGCAAATGCTGCTATTATTCTAGCTCTATAGGAGTACTTGCCTAATCCTATTCTCATTAAGTAACTCTTGGCCTTTAAACGAATCTATCGATACTGGTTTAAATCACCGCTATCAGATACAGCTTTCACAATGTCTGTCATTTGTATGCAACCAAATTGTCAATTAAGTTCTTTTTTTAATTTATACAACATCCTTCACGATAACATTCTGAAGACAAAAAGTACGCAATACAGTTATCTAAAACCTTTTCATAAAATACCTACTCTCACTTTGTGTAGTACAAGAATGTGTGTGCTGTTTTTTATAATACTTAAAATTTTAAGGGCCAATTTCAGTTGAACTTACAAATGGCATATAAACTACGAAACACGGCTTTCTAGGCTAGGGTCAAATACTGGTTCCAAACTTTAAAATTTAGATAAAAGTGTATACCGGAGTTAGGAAGTTTCTACGCAAGTGCTTTTTATTAAATTCATTCAATTAAGTTACTCAGTCAGCATGCTTTGTTATTACACTTTCTATTTATGAGTATACAATTCATGAGTAGCAACACTTTCAATGACGTCGACGACGACGATTTATTAACGATTTCTCAATATTAATGTTTTAATATTAACATTTTTAGCTCTCTTGCGATTGAGGTAAATTTTATAAAATTATCGTAAACAAACATAAGTAGAGTAAAAAGAAGCGCCTTATGACAATCACCTGCTCTACTTATGTTGCAATTGCTAAGGAACCAACCTTGAAAGTGAAAACGACAAATTTTGAGGTGTTTAGTTTTATTTTACACACACAACAAGATACAAGCCGTATCAAAAAGAAATCCCAGAATGTATTACCATTTCCTTCTACCAACGTAAAAACATTATTGTGTTATACATACACCCTACCAGTGTGTAACTTAATCTAGTCCATAAATTAGTTTTAAACTTTAAGCTAATTTTAGAACATTAATTTACCTTGAAACTACATAATCTAAAGGAAGCATTAGTCACTTGGCTGTTTAAAAAAAAACAAAAATGATTTCATGTTAAATTAATTTGACCCTTATTTAAGTCTGATACGTAGTAGTGCAGATGTCACGTTATTGAAATTTGTTGATACCAAATTCACTTTTAATAACTACGAGTATAAGTTGTACTTTAATATAAGAACATAATTCGCCATCGTGTTGTTTTAAAGCAAATTTTCGGTTGTAAAAAAATAGGAATGTTATGTACATTATATTACAGCTCTTCCTTATAGCGACAATTATCCTAATATCGACTGCCTCGGTGGTGCAGTGGTAGCCTATGTGAGTACTGTGGTTAGATCTCGGGCTCGAATACGAGTCAGACTAAATGTTTGAATGATCTGCAAATATTTGTTTCGGACTTTGGGTGTTTTCTATTTATAATATGTATGTATTTACAAAAAAAAACTATTCTATTAGTCAATCTAGCTCTCATAGTACAAGCTTTGCTTAGTTCGAAGCTAGATTGCGTTGTGTCAGATCAGATCAGATCAGATCTCCGAAATATTATTATTATTCCCTTTATTACATTTTTAATTGCTTAATATTATTATAAACTAAAAGTTTTATTTATGATATAAATGGTAACGAGCCGACATAGACATAACCGTGCATATACACAAAACGACTTCAACTTATAAAATTATAAGCAACATAATTTTCTTTTGTTTTCAGTTAATTCGGTTCGCCTGCCTTATCGGCTTTGCTAGTGCCAGCGGTTGGCATGGCTCTGATTACTCCGCTATCGGCTACGGATCTAGTATTGGCTATGGTCACGGTGGTTACTCAACCTACGTCTCTCCTTCTTACGCTGCACCTCTTGTCTCAAAAGCTGTCTACGCTGCACCAGTTGTCGCTAAAGCGGTCGTCCCTGCATATTCATACGCTCCATATGCGCCAGCAATTTCTACAGTATCCCGTTACCAAGTTCACTCATCACCGATTATCAAGTCTTACGTTGCTGCTCCTGTGGTAAAATCCTATATTGCCGCTCCTGTAGTGAAATCTTATGTCGCTGCACCTATTGTTAAGTCATATGTAGCTCCAGTTTCTTCCTACTCATCGTATTCTTCTGCCTATCCAATTGCCATTGGCCACGGCTACAGCAGTGGTAATGCCGGCATCAGTAGTGACTATTTGGGCAGCTACTCTGGCTATGGTTATGGTGGCTATGGATCCAAATACTTGTGGTAAACAGTGATAATGAAATCGCCAGAATATAATTATGTATAATTATGTAAATATATGTTAGGAAGTACGAATAAATGCATGTTATTTTTAGAAGATGTAAATATTATAACTATTTTAATAAATTTTAGATTATTTAATAACATTATAACAAAATGGTACCAGACACTTAAAAATTATCATAAGGAAGGAAATCACTAAACATCTTGCATTTAGTTTTACTTAACAAAGATTTAATTTAAGAATTTGTTTAACCTACTATTAATTTAAATAGGTACTAGAAACCTCTGTCAAGGTCACTTTAAAGCTGAAATAAAGCATATTTATCCAAATATTGAGATGCCTTATTAATATTTCTTTAAATAGTCTTCCTTTATTTTAAATAAATGGTAAATGAAAACATTTCCTGTACATGTTACTTCAAAATGGATGAAAATACGTTTCTTATTTATTTGATGCAAGAGTTTAAGGAAAACTTTTAGTATCTATTACATTCAACATGAATTTCCTTTACATTGAGTAGCCACTGGACGTTTAGAGCTTTTTAATGTATTGTGAACTAGTCAATACCAACTTGTGCTTAAATCTGCAAATGCTTTTAAGAAGACGAAAATTGGGGTGGCTGAGAATCACAGTGGTTTTGTTTTGATTAACTACTAACCACCCCGATACATAAATTTGCGTCATCTAAGACAAAGTTTTCAGGCAGACAGACATTAAGGTTAACTGACTATAAAGTAAAACATAGAATTATATTTCACTTAACAAGTTATCGTTCTACATTATAATAGAATAAGCTTTATTGTACACCAGTTTAACACAACATACAATAGAATATCAAGTTTTGACCATTTAGAAATAGCGGCCTTATCGTTAAAACGCTATTTCTAACAGGCAACCTTTAGATGGACAAATAGACTGTACATCGACTCGAATCGTCGTTAGCCCAAACATCTTCGATCGGCTCGATCCCTTGGCGTTACGTAGAGATATGGCTTCACTCTGCATTTTCTATCGCATATATCATGGAGAGTGCTCCGAGGAATTGTTCGGACTAACACCAGCCGCAACTTTCCGCCATCGTTACTCCTTCCTAAAAGGCCAGCATCGCGTTTGTGACTCCTTAGTTGTAGACGTTCAAACTCGCAAGGCTCGCCTGCAAACTCTAACTTAAAAAAAACCATAGATAAATTCACTCGTAGTTTCGGTGTGAATCATAAATTATATATACAGAAAAAACAGCATTTGATATTGATAAAAAGGAAATAACAAGGAAGTATTGATAATAATGCAGCAATATCTACTTATATAACTACACATATAATATATACTTATATAATATCAACATAATTTTTTTAATTCGAATTCGAAAACATCATAAATAAAGCCTCAAAAGCCCTCGGTTTTGTTCTGAGGCTTTCTGCGGCTTTCAAAAATGTCAAAACATTTAAAATCCTTTACTGCACGTTTGTTCGCAGCCACTTAGAATTTGTGTCTCAGGTCTGGAACCTGATCTATACATAGATAGAATCGAGCGCATACAGAAGCGGTTTTTGTGATTTTTACAACATAAAACACGTTATTACACATCTAGTTACACTTCCTGATGTAAAAAGTTTCACATTCTACCCCTGTATGAGCGTAGACATATTGCAGACATAGCATACTTACTTATCTAAAATCGCCAATGGTTCAGTGGAGTTGTTGGGTAAGATAGGATTAGTAACACATCCCACAATTCTGAGCAATCCTAGTCTTTTGTATGTTCCTTGCGTAAAGATTTTTGATTGACTACGGGTGCTGGCTTTGTGTTTGTTTACTGACTTCCAATTTAATGTTACGCATTTATTTCTAATCGCGGATATTTTTGTAAATGGCCATCAGACGTTCATGTATTGTATCTAATGTTTTTAAAATGCTAGCTGTAATTATCGCAAACAGAAGAATAAAAATATTCATAACATCTACATTTCCATTACAGAGGAATACAACAGATGGAATACGTTTTGTAAATAATAAATTGAAATGACAGGTAACGTATTAGTGCAGTAATTTCAAAGAATTTAGTTTTTTTCTGAGTGGCGTATTGACCAATATGCTTTACTAGCTTTTGCCCACGGCTTAGCTCGCGTAAATATCGATAAATAGTAGCATCTGTGCTGTTCTAGACTATAATCTATCTTTGTCTATATGTCTAGATCTATTTTAAACTAAAATGTCCTACACTGTAAATATGTTGTACTGTGTATATATTGGTATATATATTATTGGTATATATTGGTCAAATGTCCATGTGGTGACAGATTAAGAATATAGAGTGTCACCACCCCTATTCCGTTATGCCGTGGGTGTCGTAAGAGGCGACTAAGAAAGCAAACTCGGGCCGTCACCCCACCGGGGTTTGCGGTGTGTCGGAATCGGAGCGACTAAAACCACACGATGTGCGCTGGTAAGCGCGCCGTCGCCACCCGGTTCGCTGGCGGCGAATTGGGTCCTAGTTGACGTAATTCTCCCGGGCCCGCTCCGCAGCCTCCTTCTGCAAGATGACGTCTTCGCAGAAGGATGCGACCGCGGTAAAACATCTGTGACTACTGGCTATGGAGCGTATGATGGCCGGTAGCGAGAGATCTCTCCGATAGCTGCAATGAGGACCCAGCGCTGCGGCGCCCAAGCTGGACAAATTGCCAGCGTGTGCTGAGCTGAGTCCTCACTGCCATCGCAGTGGTGACAGGCGGGACTCAGTTCCCTCCTAGCAACCGAGTGCAGGTACTTCCCGAAGCAGCTGTACCCGGAAAGGACCTGCGTCAGCCGGAAGGAAAGGGTCCCGTGCTGTCGCCCTGCCCACTCGACGATGACGCGCGGCAGCAAAGCCAGCACGTGGAGCCTCCAGCCGGAGCCTTAATAAAATAAAAATAGTATGACTACTATTGCCGGTGGGGACTTTGCATGTCAAGAGATATAAGTGCTTTGAAGAGGGAGGCCTGTGCCTTTGGTGTCCTCAATCACTGTAACGAAATGCAACCAAAGAATTCCTTGACACCGTTTTCTATGCAGCCGTAGTATCACTCCGGTCGAGCTGGCCCATAAAATCAAATATTCGAAACAGAACATCTTACTAGAAGATCGAACAACTCCCGACCAACATTAAAATGTGTACAGTGTGATAATTGCCTTAAATCTTACTTTATAATACATAACTAGAATATTGCATCACCGTATATAGCCCGCACTATACCGCTCACACACCAGGGCGGACCGTGAATTAGTATGTGTGTGGTGTTACAACTAAAAACCGCGTCAATGGCCCACCTTAGGCGCTCTTTTTTTTTTTTGTTGTCGGGGTGGAAATCCCTTCGGATCTCCGGCTCCGTGGGGATGTAGGAGCCAGGAGTGTGTGGTGTTTCCACTAAAAACCACCCCGACTTCCGGACTCAGGCGCCCTACTCCGTGGAGGACCCGGACCATGTTATTTTAATTTCCCTTCGGATCGACGCAGCGCTTAGCCAGGCCCTGTCAAGGGGCACCGTCCGCCTACACTATGGGTCGGTCCATAGTGTTGCTTGACGAGGTGTGCAAACTCTTTGAAAGAGTGATTGCAAGGTGCCTCGTCAAGCATCTCGTGATGGTGTAGTCGGGGCATATTTGTCGGAGAGAGCCGTCGTCTACCCCAGTAGGACCGGTCTCGGTAGGCGTGAAACGTCGTGCGGTGTTCGGTAGTCGGTCGGTCAGGGGTCGGTACCGCACGATCTCCTTTGAGGCGGCGAGTCTTCTGGCCTGAACTCCACCGTGGGACCTGGAGGCGAGAGCCCTTGCGGCTCTGTATAAGTGGCGCAAGGAGGCGCGGGAATTGGGTCGGTGTCCCGAGATTCGAGAAATCGATGACCGGAAATCCCAACATAGGGAGTAGTCATAGTCATAGTCACACATAGTCATCATAGGGGAGTGGAGGGAACGACTCGGGCAACCGAGCGCCGGGCACGCCACACGCAAAAAAAAAACAGTTTTTAATGACTTCACATTTTACACCTATACTACCCCTGTAGAACAGTCTTCAGATAAATGTAATAGTTTATGTTTAAGGCATTATCGTCTTTAAAGCAATACACTAAAGTGCTATGGAATGGCTTCCTTTTTCAACAACGTGTTATATAATAAATCCGTTTCAGGTGCATCTAACTAAAACTCGTCACGCTTCGATTTTTTCAAAATACGTGAAGACCTTGAAAAATCAAACTTATTTCCTTTATTTTTAATATAAAAGCCTGTAATAATAGATGCTAAAACATTGTATTCTTATCACTAGACGGAATACCTCCTAGCAACATCAACATGTTCGCCAAAGTAAGTATTTAATTGACTGTGCCATATTTCGCCCTTTTTTTTTATTTCACATGTAACCTACTTTTTTTTATTTCAACAGATCCTTGCCATCGCTGTCTGCCTCTTCGGCTTAGCTCACGCCGGAGCTCTTTACAATGGAGTAGCAAACTACGCCGGTTATGGTGCAGGCCTTTACAACGGTTACGGATACACTGGATACGCCCCTGCTTCCTATGCATATTCTAAGGTTTTACCCGTCAGCACTGGCTACTATGGTGGATACAATGGAGCCGTTGAGTACGGAAATAGTCTTTATGGTTTATCTGGCTACGGATGGTAATTCAATAATGTGTTTTAGTAACTTCAAACAATGTCTGTGATTATTAAAATAGTATGAATGTGCGTCAAAATTGTGTTTTATTTTTTAACTCCCCACGGTTTAATGTCAAAGTAGTTAAAGAAATGTTCATTTTATATAATACCAAAAACTGCACTTAGCTAAAAATCTAAGACTACACGAATAATGAAGAGCTTTGAATGACACATGATCTGAACACGAATAACTAAGACTGTGGTGTATTTCAAGGTGTCTGTCTCCTTTTATTATTCTCAATATTTATCCATCTCATCACTTCGAATCTTCAATGTGCATAGCATCTTTATGCCGATGACTTAAAACTTTATCATCAGCAAACAGACGACGTAAGTGGTGCTATTTTCATGGTTAAGGTAGCTATTAAATGTTGGGCTAATAGGTTTGGATCCAGCGAAGTGCCAAGGTATTATCATAGGCAGTCAACGTATAATTCAAAGGTTAGATTAAAGTTACCCTTTATCAATTGTTTTGAACGGTTCAATTCTACCTTTGACAATTAAAGAACTAGCTATTGATTCCTAGCTCATCGGGCAAGTTCAGGTTTCTAGCGTCAGCCAGAGAGTAGCTACGGGTCTTCTATCGCTTTAAGAACTCCCTCCTGTCTGCAACAAAAACTACGCTATTACAGAACCTTTTTACTCCCATCTTGGATTCTGGTGATGTAGGCTATTGTGTAATGAATGTAGATTTCTGCATAAACACGACCGCCTTTTACAAACTGCAATTGATTCATCTTTAGCTTTTGAAAATTTGACCATGTCCCTTCCTTTCGTCAATCTATTTTATTCTAAAATCACCTACTTCCCCTTGCTACCTAAAATCTTCTTTCCAGTTTCTGTGTGATTCTCCTTTACATACATACAATCCTCCTTTGCTATGTCTTGCTCATACTTCCACGTGTGAGTTCTCTTCGTTTTCAATTCAATCGGTCTTTCGCTGGATTAGTTATACAATCCAGATAGCACCTAGCTGCCATTCGTTCAAGATGTGTATGTATATCCCTGTGTCCATTGTATTTTACTAAATTTTAATTCTTTGTTTTTTGCCCGCCAAAATCTAGTCCAACTAATCACTCCTGCACTGTAGCACCAATGCAGGATAGAAAATAAATTCTGTGACAATAAATCCGCCATTGTGTGTCGACAATTTGCCTTATTTAATATTTTAAGTTTTTAAATGCATAGTTCTTAAAACTTAATATTTTAATTGCATAGGTACTTTCGATTTTATTGATTTCTGAAAATCCCCGATTGCGTCACTGACTCCTCACTGATGATCATTACTTACTTACTTCCTGGAGTCCTATAAAGCTGAAATTTGGTATGTAAGCTATGATTTAGAACTTGGAACTTCTACTCCCCAACCCCTTGAACTAGGGTATGGAGGTTTGTATGACACTGCCGAAAGTTTGGGTGCTAGAAGTCTAAAAATTTATAGAGGGACTCCTTGTTATAAATAACACTATTTTGGTATTTAAGCTGGAATGAGTACATAAATAACAACAAAATTCTAAAACTTGTAACTTTCACCCAGCAACCCCTTAAACTAGAAGATGGAAGTCATAAGACACTTCCGCAAGCTTTGGTGCTACAAGTCTAAAAATTGATAGAAGAACTCCTTGTTATAAATAACACCCTTTTGGTATGTAAGCTAGAATAAGTACACAAATAACAAATTCTAAAACTTGGAACTTTTACCCCCAGACCCCTTAAACTAGGAGATAGAAGTTTGTATGACACTTCCGCAAGTTTTGGTGATAAAACTCTAAAAATTGATAAAGGGACTCCTTGTTATTAATAACACCCTTTTGGTATGTAACCTAGAATAAGTACACAAATAACAACAAAATTCAAAAACTGTCATAAGCACTTACCAAAAGGAGTGAAATCCCACCAAAAACATTTTTATGTAAAATTTTGCCAAGAAGAGTCCATATGGCTCGAACTATCAAAAAGTTGTCAGATCTCATGTAGAGCCAAGCTTCTAACTCTATAAGCCCTAACTTCACAAACTCTACACCTTTATCTCAAATCTCAAATACATTTATTGCATTCCATAATGTGATACAGATATCAAGCTTATAATTAAGTTACAATTATGGACCCTGTCGGGCACAGCAAAATGTTAGGAGAGAGGAAGAGTTTATTACAATTATTATTGCTGCTATAAATATATACACACAAAAATTGGATTCAACTATAGATAATTTGGTTTTGTTTTAATAGTGTTTTTAATTTAGTCAATATTACTTCATATTAAATGTCATTCTCATATTTATATACAAACATAAGTTAGTAAATGCAATTTAAATATCAATTATTATATATCAATGTTTATATGATATTAAATGTCGTTCACATACACAATACGACAGAATAAATTGGGTTAGTCTAATGCTAATAATTATCATTTCATACAATGGAAACACTACAATAAGTAAAGTTTGTTAAAATTTTGGTATTTTATTCTAAGTTAAATATTAATAGCGCTTTATGTATTATTCTATTATTGTTTATTAAAATATGCATTTGGAAATTATTATCGTGGATTCTGTCAATGGTTTGTAATTATTGTTTATCATCTAAGTATTCTTGTATGCTGTAGTAGCTTTTACTCACTAGAATTTTTTTTAGTTTATTAATAAAGATGTTGATTTTTTCTTCTTTTTTTATGGACTCTGGCAACTTATTGTATATTTTTATTGACATGACCAAGGGGCTCGAGGAATTAGTCTATTTACGTAGTTAGACTTCACGAATGGCGTAGCTGTTAAAAGTGTTACCTCGTCGCTGCCTACTGCTCTGAGTGTTGTGGGCTCGATCCCCACATAGGACAACACTTTGTTTGAATCACAAATTAATTTTATGAATCTGGGTGTTCTTTGTGTCCGTTTGTCGTTAAGTATGTTTGTAAAGTCCCCACAACATAGGATTATATTTCTTGTACGGAGCTGTACTTAAATATATATGCCGCTAAATAAGTTGTTGTAATACATATGAATACACATACATTATTGAATACATTATTGAACATTAGAAATCTCTTCACATAGTAGTTAACACTTTTGCAACCCTTCATAATAGTCAAAATTGAAGATAAAAGTAACCGTTAAAGTTAAAGCATTTTCACCTTTAAATCTACAACACTAAGTTCTTTATTACGATGTTTTTATTAATATTAATAAATACATTGTTAAAAACTATTTAACAATGTTTTAATGAATATCACTGTTTAATGTGATTCTAATTAAAACACGTCATGCTCAATTTTTTTATTTTTTTTTATTTATAAGAAAACCATTAACAATCAGACTTACTTCCTACGATACTAATATAAAAGCCTGTAAAAACAGCTACTAAAACATTCTGTTCTATACACCAGAAGGAATACCTCCTAGCAACATCAAGATGTTCGCCAAAGTAAGTAGTTGCAAATTATACAGCGAAATATTATTGTTAATTATGAGAGTGTTAACTGAATCACAGATGTACCCTGCCACATTTTGTTTACATTGATGACAGATTAGGAACAAAACTTAGACGCAAAATAGATAAAAACAATATCTTTCAAGTAAGTTGCATAACCTGTCAAAAATGAATTTTAATTGAAAAAAAAAATTGAATTGTCAAGATTGAGCTCAATCGGTGCAGAACTTATAGAGTTTTTGAAGCGTGCACAAACCAATGATGTATGTAAAATACTTTTTCCTGTTCGACAGATCCTTGCCATCGCTGTCTGCTTCTTCGGCTTAGCTCACGCCGGAGCTCTTTACAATGGAGTAGCGAACTACGCCGGTTATGGTGCAGACCTTTACAACGGCTACGGATATGCTGGATACGCCCCTGCTTCCTACGCATATTCTAAGGTATTGCCCGTCACTGGCGACTATGATGGGTACAATGGAGCCTATGCCGGTTATGGTGGATACGGCTACCGCAGTTATGCCAATGGTCTTTATGGCGGACAAGGCTACGGATGGTAATACATTATCTAATATGATTCGTCGATAATTTTTAACAATGTCTGTGATTAATAAAGTGGTATGAATGCGTGTCAAAATTGTTTATTATTCTTAAAACTCTCCATGATTCCCAATGCTGTGAGGGGCAAAAAAGTACTGAAACTAGACGTTTCAATACTTTTTGAAATAAAAATTTCTATAAAAATTACCTTGATAGTTCTGAATATTCGTTACGTTATAAAACTATTTGTTACATTCAGATAACAAACATAACAAACAAGTCATTCCTGATATACAGCTTACGCTAGTTTGGAAATCAAGGCTTGCACTTGAATTGTATGCACCTTTTGTTGCAATAAAGAATTTATTATTATTAAGTCAAGTAGCTACTTACTAAAACTACGAAATACACAATTATAATGACTAAGAAATGCAATCAACTAGCATAAATAAGTTTATTTTCATACATGTTTACAGAGTTTCACACATATACCAACATGTAATACCAATAGCATCACAAAAAATTCACTGTAAGAAAAATAATTAAAACAAGCTTTTATTAGGCTCTAGATATTATGTACCACCCAAAGACTCACCAAGCCAAAAGAAATGAGTCCAAACTTGATGGGTTCATCTTATTTAGTTAAGAAGTTTCTATGGCCGTCTTCCGGCTCCATGATCAAGACAGCTGCCTGGTATTATATTATTATTTTGGCAATAAAGATATATATATATATGGACATAATATTTGAAGTTAATCGGACACTGGGAACTGGTTTTTATTTAGCTTCCAAGATTCGTGCCAAATACATATACATCAAACATTGCATTACAGTTATATAAAAGCTTCTAAAATAACGCTGTTCATTATTAATACTTTAATAATAGTAGACTTTTCAAAAAGTATAATTAATACACTTGTAACAACTAACAATTGTAATCTAAAAATGGAATAATTATAATAATTTCTCTTTTACATCACTCCGATCATGCCAGTTCATATGAGATGAAGCATGGTTCTCCCATTGTTAAATGTTTCTTAGTTTCTCTTCTTAACCCCGACGTAAAATGAGCGATCTAATAAGTTGAGCGTGTGTACCCGTACTGCACAGTGTAGATTTGTCTATAGTATTATAGCTCCGCTAGATCAATTTTGATTTAATTTATTTTTAAACTTGACTTGATCGAGTTTTTATAGTCATCAACTTTAAGTATGTACTTGTTTTCTTTGTTAATATCTATAAACTGCCATTTTATGGATATCACGTTCACAAACACTACAAACTTTAAATAAGCGGGTCCTTAACTTGTCCATCCTTATCAAAACTTCCAGTAATGTTCATATTTACATATTAAAAATCAAATTACATAAAATATCGTCCACGTCTTGCATCTACAACCAGTTACTTACGGTATGACTACTACTTAAATGCAAGTTCTTGAAAAGTTCTGTGATCAGTCGAGGAATGGGATGGCTTAATGAGAGAAATATGTGCTTTTACGACCTATATAGTAATCCTGTATTTAAATTGAATTCTTAGGTTAGGAGATGCAGTTGACACGTTGGTTGTTTTCAGCACTTCAGAGCAGATTTACATTGTCTCATTATTGTCCTAAAAAAGATGAAAATTCAAACATACATACTCCCGCGTTTTTACTTGAATTGACAAGCAGATGCTTATTAAACGCCCACATTTTGCCCAGCAATATTTTAGTTCCACCTGCATAATAGGGGACAAAATTGCTATCGTCCATCGGGCACTTCAAGAAATATACAAGAAATTGAGAGTTTAATATGAAAGAAAGTAGCCGTACTTGAGTAAGGCAGAAAGGCAATAATAGGAAAGCGATATTGCTAACACGGACTTATTAGGGCATGTTTATCAATAAAATGAGCAGATCAGGATCATATACCTTTAACTCGAACAGGCTGTTACCGCTGAACCCGAACTCTACAATATTTAAAATACTGTTGTTGGACTGTTTGTTGATTGTTTTAAATTATTGGACTTTACGCAGCATTGTTAACAATATTTATAATATATTTTCTTAAACCAATACTAGCCCGTTCTTAAAACTTGTGAGGCTTGCAAAAAATCTAGACGGGCAGGTACATCTCCCTTTGGACATCCCAATCCATAAGGGTTTATAATTTTTTAAACTTTGGTGATGTACAATTAACATAATTAGGTATATGACAAAAGGTTAAAGCGATGGTGTAATGAGTTTTGCTTGAAATGGCAGGTAATCCAAATAGTGTATGTAAGTTGCCTGTAAAGTTAAGCGTAGCCTAGTCGAGTCCTCAGGCGATTCGATGAAGTGGGGTGTGTGTTACGTGATCGCGTTGATGCTTCTTTGACACATTGTTTACTTAAAAGTGGTTGTACATTGGCCTCAATTATATAAGATATAGTTGATCAGTTTAAAGAACAATAATATTATTGTCGCTGTGGGAGAGTCATACTTCAGTACATTTGAGCAGGCTTGAGGGGAGGCACTCAAAAGGCGACAGCACAATGAGCATCGTTAGTAGGATGTGTCCATCAATATATACACACACACACAGTGACTTAAGTCGATCACTCAGAGAGTTACTTCACTACTTACTTCACATTTTTGTTTATTTTTATGGCAACCCCTGTAGAATAAATAGTCTTCAAGATTATACATAAAAGTACCCACATCGATTCAAAGCATTATCGCCTTTAATACAATGCTGTAAAGTTCTTTATAACGGATTCCCTTTTCAGCAATCTATTAATAAATAAAACAGTTTAATGTAAATCTCATAAAGACTCGTCACGCTCCGATTCTTTTTAATATAGCAAAACCTTTAAAAATCAAACTTGCTTCCTTTATTTTTAATATAAAAGCCTGTAACAATAACGTCTAAAGCATTCTGTTCTACACACTACAAGGAATACCTCCTAGCAACATCAACATGTTCGCCAAAGTAAGTAATTGCAATAAGTAAATAATTTGCATGACCTGTTGATTTAACTGTCTGATCAAAGATTTAATTCCTACCCAGGAAGAATAATTTGATGAGCATAATCACTTGCATTTTATAATTAATATAAATTAGTATTTGGAAATATTGGAGTATGTTTATCAGCAACGAAGTTACTATAGTAACTAGGCTCTGCTTGGTGTAGAGGCAGGCAGCCATGACTGAGACGTGTCAAGTTATTATAATAATGAATACAAGTAAAATCTTCTATGAACTTATTTTATTTTTCTTTTATTAATTACTTTAACTTATTATCCCTTTATTTTTTATTGGAACTTTTTTTCTATTCAACAGATCTTTGCTATTGCTGTCTGCCTTTTCGGCTTAGCTCACGCCGGAGCTCTTTACAATGGAGTAGCGAACTACGCCGGTTATGGTGCAGGCCTTTACAACGGTTACGGATACACTGGATACGCCCCTGCTTCCTACGCATATTCTAAGGTTTTGCCCGTCAGCACTGGCTACTATGGTGGATACAATGGAGCCTATGGCGGTTACGGCAATGGTCTTTATAGCGGATACGGCTACGGATGGTAATACAATAACTATTGTGATTCGATAATTTAAAACAATGTCTGTGATTAATAAAATGGTATGAATATGTATTGTGTCGAACTTGTGTATTATTGTTAAAACTCCGCATGATTTTCAATATTACAAAAGAAATGTTTCAATATAATATTTTAACATATTTTCCACAGAACTTCATCTCAATATATAAGAAATGATATTACCTATACTCAGCTAAACATGTTTGTTGAATTACATAATATAATATAATATAATAATATAAACCAATAAATAACCAATAGGAAATGTAATTGACTGGGAATCAATTCACATGGGATTACATGTTTACACAGATTCACACCTTGAAAGAATTTAAGCATTTCCTATGAAAGTTTTAACAATAGTGAACTTTTGAAAACAGTGTCGAATGCCCGTTAAGCTTAAATAAGTAATGGTATAGGTAATAGTAATTAGGAGGTGGTATCAATCTTCAGTACAGCCAAGTCAATTAAAATAAGAATTATTTCAATCGATTCATAAATAATGAAGATATCGTAAAATAGCCACCATTTGCATACAATATCATCAACATATGGCTTCCAAAATGTTTTAATTAACGTAAATTTAGTTTTCAAGCATACTGAATTCAACTATTCTTGAAAAGTTATTTGAGTATCATCTAGGAATGTGAAGAGGAGTACGAAGAAATAAATTTAATGAAATTTTACGACCCGTGTGGTGCTCTAATTCTAAATTGCTACTGTTACGACAAATACAGTTGGTTGATAAACGTAAGTTGATGAACGAATGTCTTGTATTTTATTTAGGCTGGCTTGTATTAAGGCCGTTTCCTTCTCTCTTTCTTAATAAAAGAGTTTTTTTTTTAATTTACAATATTTAAAAAATTGATGTTAAACTTTTAAACTATTGTTAAACATTATTTAAAATAGTCATGGGCTTGAAACTTGATCTTAGGAAAAAATTAAAAACTTATGCGGACAAGAACTTCAGAGTAGACGGTGTTTACCATGATGTTATTCTGATTTCCCGTTAACATACGTGGGCATACTGAATGTTTCTGGATCTGGCTACTTTCAATAAAATAATGAAAAAACAATTATGAAATTCGAAAATGGAACTCTTTGGCAATATGTTACTTTTTAATTTGCGAGACTGTCATTAGTTTTTTGACTGTGACGTGCTTTTGAAAATTATTTTTTATGATTTTCGTTGTGACTTAAATCAACAAGAGAGTTGCCAGAGACTTCAATTGGCCTTTGGAGGATTTTGACGTGGACGTGATCATCTCCACGACGAGGTACGTGAAGGTCGGCTGGCGACTGCGGTTACAGACTCTAACATTGACACCGTACGACAACTTATTGAACCTGACAGAAAAATTACTTGCCAGAAAATTCGTGCATTCGGCATCTTCTTGTTTCCAAAAATTAAAGACAAATTTAGAGGCACATGTTTTACGAGCTCTGATTCGGCGGTGAATGCGTTCTATGAAGCCATTGAAGGAAGACTGGTCCAACTACTTTGACCTGTAGTTTCAGCGAATGCAAAAATGCACTAATTGCGAGGGAATATACTTTGAAAAACAATAAATGTATCGTAAGTCTTATATCTAGTCTTATTTATTAGAATCCAGAAACTTCTAGTATGCCCTAAGTATGCCCTAATATGTATAAATACAGGCATGCATTACGGCTAGTACGTCAGATAAAAAAGTCGCACGACTAATCCGAATTTACAGTAGAACACAGTATTACACTAGCTGACCCGCGCAACTTCGTCTACGTCTCTGAAAAAGAAGAATTTTCCTCCGTTTCGCAACATTTTTCATTTATACTACACTTGTATTAGTCGTGGTATGATAACATATATCCTATAGCCTTCCTCAATAAATGAGCTATCTAACATTGAAAAAAAACAAATCGGACCAGTAGTTCTTGAGATTAACGCGTTCAACCAAACAAATAAACAAACAAACTCTTCAGCTTTATAATATTAGTATATATGTGCCACTTAACTAGGTAACATTTTGTATTTTTAACCGACCTCAAAAAAGAAAAGTGTCTCAATTCGGCTGTATTTTTTTGTATATTTCTTTGTCAAATTTGGGCCAATTTTCAGAATTATTTTTGAAATTGAAAGAAGACAATCTTGATGTTGTCCCATTGTCATCAAATCAGGATCTAATGATGGAATAATAATAACCTCATAATAATTTCCTCACACATCCCACACAAGGCTGTCTGATCCCAAACTAGGCAGAGCCTCTGCTACGGTAACCAGACTGCTGATAAACATACTTATATATTTCTAAATACATACATATTATAGGTAAATTGCACCCAGACACAAAACAAAACTAGGCGACTAAGGGCGCAAAACAACGCAGGACACCAGCACTTCAAAAAGAAGGAAAACTTGATACAATCCCTATACCAACCCGTCTGGCCAGCGTGGTATAATAGGCCAAAACCTCCTTTCTAAGGAGAGGCCTATGTCCAGCAGTGGACTATTAAAGGCTGTTGATGTGTGATGTGAAGTTTACAATACGGTAAACTTCAACTCCAAGTAAAAAAGTACGTTTGTCTACCAGAAAAGAATCAATTCCTGATTTATAAATTTATATCCACTATCACAAAGTTCAGAAAACGACTTCCTTATTAGTAAATATGGTTAATGATAGCAATAATGGCATTCGATAGCATATGCCTGCGGCAGATTACACAATTCTGAGGCTCGGGTGGAGTCCAGCCTTGACATTGAAATCGAAAGTGCCAGCGGCTGATCTGCTACGGAGATTCAATACCAATACCGGTTTGTACACACTCATATAAAAGCGAAAGCAAGTGCTCCAAAAATTATTACACCCGACAACAACGTACAATACCAACATGTCTACCAAGGTACACGGTGTTTTTTATATTTCATATTCAGTTTTATTTTTTATTTAGCGGTGCTTCAGTCAGTTAAATAATTACCATGTAAGATGATCTTTGTTTTTTGGTGAAGTGTTGGCCAACGTAATTCGTGACATATCCATAAAGAGCTTTGGGAAAACATTAATATCTTAATAGTATAAAACCCAGTACCCTTATGAAATCAGTCTTTAGAACTGATTTTAAGTATTAAGAAACTTACTTAAGAATATTTTTATGTTTTTAAGGTCATTATCTTCTTGTGCGCGGTGGGCATCGCTTCTGCTGGCAATCTGTTGCACGCTGCTGGTCCATACGCGTACAGCGGGCCCGTCGCTTACAGCTCCGCACCAGCTGTCTCTTCTGTGTCGTTCTCCAGCCATACTGCACACGCTCCCGTCGCTACATACGCTGCCGCCCCTGAATATGCCAAGGCCTATGCCGGGCCTGCTGTCACCACCTACGCCACCGCTCCAGTTGTAACCAAAACTTATGCCGCACCAGCTTTTACCACTTACGCCTCAGCCCCTGTCGTGACCAAGTCTTACTCTCCGGCTGTTTCCTACCAGTCCATCTCTTCTCACTCTGCACCCGTTGCGTACGCTAAAACCATTGCCGCGCCAGCTCTTACTTCATATTCTGCTGGCCCCGTGTACACCAAATCTGTTGGCCCCGCTGTATCTTACTCGTCTATCTCCCACTCGGCTCCTTTGTCATACGCCGCAACTGCTCCCGTAGTCACCAAGACCTACGCTGCTCCAGCTATCGCCTCGTACTCCGCTCCAGTAATCGCTAAGGCCATCGGCCCCGCTGTATCCTACTCATCTATCGGTCATTCAGCACCTGTTGCGTACGCCGCAAGCCCTGTTTTCACCAAAACCATTGCAGCTCCCTCGTACACTTCATACGCCGCTGCTCCCGTCCTGAAGTCTGCTGTTACCTATTCGGCAGCTCCCGCCGTCTCCCATGTCACATACACCGGTCTCGGAGCCAGCTATGGTTGGTAAACAATTATTTGTTAATATTTATTGCTAGAAGCTAATAAACTGTTTTATATATGAAGAAAAGTCATTGAAATAAAAACTTGAAAAATTATTAAGCATTTTAATATTGTCTAGAGTTAAGTCTGTGTTATAAAAGTAATATTATATGTTACCAAACATTTACACTCCTTAAACTGTAATTAAATTGTGATTTATCAATTATGCAACAATCACCCTCGATTTCCGAAAGACTGACCAAAATACAATTCAAGTGACAGAGCAGCAAAACGTGGATCAGCGAAAAAAATATTAAGAGCATTAAAATTTGACACCTCTGTCAACTGACCCGATGATCATATCAAAGTTCATAACTATCTAATTAACTCAATATACACTTGACAAGAAATTTGGCGGATAATAAGTTACATTTGATGATTAGATTTGATTTTTTTTCTTAAAGTAGGACGTAATAATGGCATAAGCGGTAATAATAAAATTGGCAAATTAAACGTTCTTTAGCTAAGCCATCAAATTATTTTAATTATAGGTACCGTCATAAATCATTTCATAACTTTTTTTTTCTTACATCCTACACACAAAGCCATCTAGTTTCAAACTAAACAGAGCTTGTACTATGAAAGCAAGAGCGACTGATAGAATACTGATATACTTTTTTTCGTAAATACATACATATTATACGTAAAAAACACCCAAACTAAGAAACAAAATATTTGCAGATCATGCAAATATTTAGTCAGACCCGATAAACGAACCCGAGACCTCAGCAGCAGTACTTCTGCATTAGATTTATATTTGGTTTACGCAGATATGATCATGTAACTCAATTTCGTAAATTACTCAAGTGGCTCCCAATTCGACTTCGACGGAATACACATATTCTTTCTATGCTTTATAGTATTTTATTCAAACCATTAACCCCTCCTTACTTAAAGGAACGTTTTGTGTTCCTTAGTGACACACATCTGAGATTCTTAAGATCGTCGGAATCTTTGGAGCTAATGGTACCTAGCCACGCTACCATATTCTATGACAAATCTTTCACGGTGCAGGCTGTCAGATTATGGAACGCCTTGCCGATATCTATAAGAAGTGCCCGAACACTGACGGCATTTAAAAATATGGTCAAAGTTCACTACTTGAGTTTATAGTTCATGGTACCCTTTGCTTCCAATAACTATACATGACTAATGTTTTCATGGTTATCAATATAAATTGTTTATACTTTTTTTGTATATAATATATATACATATATATATATATATATATATTTGTATTGTTGTATATTTGTATGTATGTATAATTATATAATGTATATTTATTTATTTTTACACTACGTTAGCTTCAATACATCTAGACTACCCACTGTTTCTTCTTATCCACTGTCAATTTGTCCATCCAAAGGTTGCCTGTAAGAGATTGCTATTAGCAATAAAGCCGCCCATAGTACATATCCATCGGTAATATTTAACCAACTTACTATAATTGGTATACAATAAAGCATATTCTATTCTATTCTATTCTATTCCATTCTATTCCATTCCATTCCATTCCATTCCATTCCATTCCATTCCATTCCATTCCATTCCATTCTATTATATTCTATTCTATATACATGTTTAGTCCGAGTATACATTTATAATCTATCTGAGTGCCTCAAGTGACCTTAATAGGTACTTTCAGTACTTAATTATTGATTGTATCAAATATCACTAAAACATTACAAAATTATATTTAAAACGTTGTTTGTTGTTGTTTGTTTTAAATATAATTTTGGAATGTTTTAAATAATATAACCATATAATAATAAATAAGTTTACACATCTCACACACGTCAGTTGGGTCCCAGACAGACACACACAGACCAGACAGCTGATAAATTTACTTATATATTTCTAAATTATACAAAATAAAGAAAACTCATACCCAGACACAGAACAAATGATCGTACTTATCAAACAATATTTGTCCTGGGTGGGAATCAAACCCACGACCTCCGGCTTAGCAGTCAGGGCCACTAACTTAAATGTGCTTAAATCACTTTAATGAACTTTAATGTTATGATCAAGCAGCTTTAACTGTAATTCATGGACTTTTGCCATAGCAACCGCTGAGGTATAAGACGGTGCGTTGTCTTGGTAAAACAGGATTTTCTTTTTCTGCAAATGAGGCCGTTTTTCCACAAGTGCTCCCTTGAGCTTGTCAAGTAATGATGCGTAGTATGCTCCTGTAATGGTTTTTCCTTTTTGGAGATAATCGTTTAAAATAACTCCATGACTATCTTCAAAAACAGTCGCCATCACTTTCCCAGCTGAAAAAAAAATTTTGGCCTTTTTTGGAGCCGTTTTCCCCCTTGCAGTCCACTGTTTGGTCTTTATTTTTGTTTCAGGAGTATAATGGTTTATCCAAGTTTCATCTGCAGTAATTAATCGCCGCCAAAACTCAGATTTATTGTGCCTAAACTGAGCCAACAGAGCGTTGGAAATGTTCATTCGAACACGTTTTTGGTCTAACGTGAGCAAACGCGGCTCTTTCTTATGTCTAAATGTTGATTTAATATGTGACAAACACGTTCTTTTGACATGTCATAACCTCTGATATATCTCTCACTTTAATTCGGCGGTCGTCTAGCACCATTTGGTGAACTTTGGCGCTGTTTTCGTCGGTAGTTGCAGTTTTTGGACGTCCCGGACGTTTATCGTCTACCAAGCTCTTACTGCCACGTTTAAATTCAGCTGCCCAAAATTTCACTGTGGTAAATGATGGTGCAGAGACCCCATACACAGAATACAACTCATATTTGATTTGCGTAGGCGTATTGCCTTTCAAAAACAAATATTTAATGACAGTTCGGTATTCGATTTTGGTCATTTTCATAAAAACATTTACATCAACTCACTCAAACGACTGTTACATAACATCTGCGCGTCCAAAATGGCTGAAACTTTGGCGAGTAACTGCCAACAGATGAACAACGAAATTCACTAGCTTTTATTTCACGAGTGTTGCATTCTTCGTGTTGAGGTCGCAAACTTTTCAGACCACCTGTGTATTACCTAAGCAGCCAGTTATTTAGCGACTCTGTGCTAGTAGACCAGCAAATAGCGTTGGAAATTTTCCAAAGTCCAAAGCCTCTAGCTTTTGACTTACACGAAGGCTTTTATTTGGCCTAACCCTGTCAATTCTATATGGGTTGAATGTTCATAAGACAACAGTTTCCCATTCACAAGATATTTATTGTCTATAATCTTATTCGTATTTATGCATCGTACATGATACACACATACGATACGTAATGAGACAAGGTACTGACAAAGAGAGTCTGTGATATCTTAAGTAGAAGACAATCTGGCGAGTGAGGAGACCTCTTTGTGTGAAGCTGTAGTGCTCCAGAAAGGTATGATACATAGTGGTTTCTAGTAAAAATACCATATACTACTGGCTTCTACATTGCTGTTGTAGGTTGTGTTCCCGATATTTTCCACCTCAGCACAAAAAACAATTATAACATCCAGCTGCCAACAACTGATGTTTACAAATAAAATTAGTACTTAACATTGAGTAGTATACTAGTTATGGTTAAGAAAACTAAAAGTCATAAACTACAAGGTTACATTTTATAAGCTACAACTTAATCGACCTGTATTTATGTTTAAAACTTGTATTTATCTATATACTGTAGGGTCAACGGAAGTACAAAAGGTTAACGAGCTTCGTCTTGCTAAATATACTGATTAACAGAAATACCACATGAATTTTGAAATAAACTCTGAAAATTATTACTTTAATGAACAGATTTACGATTCAATGTGTCAAAAATGAAAACTTCTATATGCAAATTTCGCTCATTTGCCAACCCTACCTGCTGATGGTATCAATTAAACAATATCAATTAAATAGACAGCCAAAGCCTCCACATTACTTTATGCGTCCCCAACATCGAACGGTTCTGCGGTTCGTAAGTGTATATCGACCCCGTCAAAAACTGCCCCATAAAGACGGAGCCTAAAATGCATAATAACCGATGTAGGTAGAAGTAACTTATTTCTCTTAATGAATCCAACTTAAAATTGAATAGTAAACCGACAATCATGTCATCCTATTTAAGTTCTTACTAAAAAACTCTTAAATTAATGTCTGTCATGATTGTATTTTAGTATTGAGTCTGTTAAATTAAAGAAGTGAAAAGAATTGAAAATCTGAACCGCTTCAAAAGATTTTGTGTAAGACAAGTCCGACAAAGTTAAAAACAGCATTAACCTTCGGGCTCATGCTCAGTAACATTGGACAGCGTTAAAGGTCAATTAACTCTACAGAGCAATTCTGAGATTAATATATAAGACTATTATTATGTTATACAAAAATCACGAATGTCTCCCCCACAGAAAAGCAGTTCCATTAATAGGGGAGGTCTCCCTGTTGTGAAGTTTTTGTTATACAGGTTGTTATTCAAAGGTGTAGTTAGATTTTTAGAAGTGTAAGCCGAAAAATAGTTAATTCATTTAAACAATTGGAGTATGATTTTTTTATTGCCCAAAAACAGCAAAAACTAGGTATTATGAATTTTCGTGACAAAAGTAACTAATTTCGTTTTTAATTTGGTTTCAAGCTGACATTTAAGAACAAAAATTGCATCCTCGATATTAAATACCTATAGTTCAATTCATGTCAACTCTTACTTTCTTACACAATATAAGCTTTGAGCTTTAGTGTAAAAAAAATTTTTTTTTATTTTTTAAGAAATTTTAATATTTGTGGAACACTCTATAGAATGAAAGTGAAAATAGATATTAACTAAGGTAAATTACTGCACGTCTTGATTTATATACTAACTTGGCGTAATTTATGTTTGTTTTTCCAGTGTTCGCAGTGGCAGAAATGAAAAGAAATCATAATGTATATTTAAGAAATAAAAGCCTCTAATCGTTTCTGCGTACTTGTATTACCAAAGTAACTAACAATTACCGAACGTATTTTTGTGAGTACAAAATCTAATACGAATTTAAAACAATAATTAGTATTAGAATAAATTTCTAATAGAATGGGTATTATAATATTTCATTGTCAACACATTTGTTACATAAGTTTATGTATTTTGAATAGTAACTTCTTTTGTTTTATTTGATTAATTACCACTAGGTCGTGATTATTATCGATATTAGATATTAACTAAATTAAGAACATTCCAACAGTAAAATCACTTTATAGTCGGAGTTGAATAGAAGAGAAGGTCCACTGCTGAATTGTAGACATTGTCCAAATTAAGAGATTAAGTTTAAAACGGACATTGTTTTGACATGTCATAAACACCTGACATAAGTCATTAGTACCTACATGTTTCTATTCAGTAATGTATTAACATTCTTTCTGAGAAAATATTATATTATTATTACGTTCATAAATCCTGTGGGCGTTTTGATGCTGAAATTATTATAACATTTTTAATCACCGAGCCGTTATTATACTTAACAATTAGACAATGAATTAAGAATACATCAAAGGCATTTTTTTATAAATGAGTCAATTTGACTTTGACCGGTTTAAGACTGACAGAACAAGACTGCTTCAGGCTATTTGCTACTGAGATTAAATGATTATACCAGTTTGAAGGCTCGATATAAAAGCGAGAGTAGTTGCTCCAAAAATTATTACAAGAAAATCATTCGTCATAACAACATGTTCACCAAGGTACACAGTGATTTATTTTATAACATTCTATGGATTTTTCATAGTGCGTTTACATACTAGATTTAGAACTACAACTAGTCTAGACTGCTGTTTTCAATGTTACACTTCAATGTTACACAATTCATTGTTTATTGAAAAATCATGGTTTAATGTTTAATTTCGTTTATTTCAGATCGTATTTTTCTTGTGCGCTGCGGGTATCGCCTCTGCTGGCAACCTGCTACATGCTGCGGCCCCGCTGGCTTATAGCGCGCCCGTCGCGTACAGCTCGGCACCAGCTGTCTCCTCTGTGTCGTTCTCCAGCCATACGGCACACGCTCCCGTCGCCACATACGCTGCCGCCCCCGTCTACGCCAAGACCTATGCTGGGCCTGCTGTCACCACCTACGCCTCCGCTCCCGTTGTAACGAAAACTTATGCCGCACCTGCTCTCACGACTTACGCCTCGACCCCTGTCTTGACCAAGTCTTACAGCCCGGCTGTCTCCTACCAGTCCATCTCTTCTCACTCTGCTCCCGTTGCCTACGCTAAAACCATTGCCGCGCCGGCTCTTACTTCATACTCTGCTGGCCCAGTGTACAGCAAATCTATAGGTCCCGCTGTATCTTACTCATCCATCTCCCACTCGGCTCCTTTGACATACGCCGCGGCTGCTCCCGTAGTCACCAAGACCTACGCTGCTCCAGCCATCGCCTCATACTCCGCTCCAGTAGTCGCTAAGGCCATCGGCCCCGCTGTATCCTACTCATCCATCGCTCATTCAGCACCTATTACGTACGCCGCTAGCCCTGTTATCACCAAGACCGTTTCAGCTCCCGCGTACACATCATACGCCGCTGCTCCCGCATACGCATCATACGGCGCTGCTCCCGTCCTGAAGTCAGCTGTCACATATTCAGCTGCACCCGCCGTTTCCCACGTTACTTACTCAGGTCTCGGTGTCAACTACGGCTGGTAAAGTCTTCATTGTTAATAATTTATTGCTAGTCCCACAATGACTGACTGTTTGTATAACTATTGTATATTCGTTAAGAGTACAAAATAAATTTTTCAAACTTATGTATTGCATTTTAATTTTATAATACCTTCACTTGTCCGGTCAAATTCGACGTAAAAATAGTGACCAAATAACAAAAACTCCGACAGAGCTGAATTTTGCTAGATACCAGTAAAAATAAAGAGCTAAAAGTCCCCATCGATCCAATGTTTGGTTTCTTTGGTTTTTCTCGATACCTTTATAACTATATACTATAACTAACTATAACTTTAAATAAAAAATGTAGATCATAAAATGATCTACAAGAGCGGCCCTTATACTTTTTTCCTAACTATCACCATTCTTAACATTTCGCGATTCTAAAAGTTGAAGGTATTACATTCTACATTATTTGCACACATTTCCACACAAGTGTACTTGGCGGATTTTTTAACGTGGTTTCCCTGGTAGAAATACATCGGTTATGATAGAATTTTACAGGTAAATATTGTATTTACTGCATTAAGATTATTGATTGAGAGGTGATTAATTTAAACTGTAGTTCTGATTTCTGTAACTGTTTGAAATATATCCCTTTGTTCTAGGGCAAAACGACTATTCTGGTTATTCATTATAGCGGTAAATCGGTCGGCAAAATCAATTAGCGTCAGCTAATAAAAAAACAATAATTTTGAGCGGAACATAGGTAACTGTTACATCGTTCTTTCCTCATTTATATTAATTACCTGCTTTAATTTGTAATATAGGATCTTTTGAGATAGAAAAGTTGAATGTGTAGTCAAAGTTTAGGTGCGTTGAGTAGGTATATCCGAAAAATAATTTATGCATCTTAAACAAATGTCCGTGTGGTGACGGATTAAGAATACAGAGTGTCACCACCCCAGTTCATCCCGTGGGTGTTGTAAGAGCAGACTAAGGGAGTAAACTACGCAGAATAATAGCACTGCAAAGAGAAGGAAAACTTGAAAGAAACCCTACACCAACTCGTCTGGCCAGCGTGGTATAGTAGGCCAAAACGTCCAGCAGTGGACTAGTAAAGGCTGTTGATGATGATAATGATGAAACAAATGTCACTTGAAGGAAAAATATTTTTATTAATGTCTTGTTTAAAAAAATTGTGTAGATTTTTAATGACATTCGAGATCAATCTATAAACATGATTTTCGTGTTAAATCATGAATTTCAACTCTATAAAAATAACTTTGCCACTCCTACTGTGTGTTCACTACTTCGACCTTAAAATAGGATCAAAACTTTCTTTAACACCCTGTACTAAATCGATATTTCATCAACAGCCTTTAATAGTCAACTGCCTACTATAGGTACCACGCTGGCCAGACGGATTGGTATAGAGTTTGTTACAAATTTTCCTTCTCTTTGCAGTGATGTTGTCCTGCGTAGTTTACTCCCTTAAAATCGATATTAACCAAGGTAAAGTACTACACTCGTTGATTAACATAATATCTCACCTACATTTACCCATTTATTTATTTTACGCCAATCTTCACATTAAATAAAAATACTTAAGGAACTGAAGTCTTTAAGGATTAGGTTAATTTATATTTAAATTATTTAGTTACTATTAATGAACCAAAACCTACTTATTTTATAAAATAGAATACTAATTGTTTATTAATACTTAGATTGTTCAGAGAAATTTAGATTTTCTTAACTGTATATTATACTTTTGCCCGCGGCTGCCCCAGCGTGTATGTTGGTTATCGCGGGAAAAATAGCCAATGTTACTCACTGATAATGTACCTTGTCATTGGTGAAAGAATTTCTAAAATGGGTTTACGGTAAATTTCAATGACCTATCTATCAATAATTCTGAATACTCCAGATAAACAAATCTATCCTTTTAGTATTTTACTCTTACTTACTTTTCAAAAACCTACCGGCAGATAGCATTTCCTACCGAAGTAGTTTATGTAACTTTAACAGGGCGGATAGTCCACCAGAGAGATAGGAACGCGCATAAACAAATAAAGATACGACATAAGATACGGCACGGATGACGTAGTGGTTTAGGTGGTCGGCACGCCGCTTCCTACTGCGCTGAGTGTTGTGGGTTCGATCCCCACGTGGGACACCACTTTGTGTGATCCACAAATGGTTGTTCTGAGTCTGGGTGTTCTTTGTGTCCGTTTCATGTATGATTGTAAAGTCCCCCCGCGACTTAGGATATATATTCCTAATGTGGGAGCTGTCTTTAAAAAATATTGAAAAGTATATTAAAACATTGAGTAAGTGCGATTACTATGTAAATTCCTATCTCTGGTAACTATGGTAATAAAAACTGCGTGTTTATTAAGGTTTTAAAAAGTAAGTACAAATCATTTACTGTGTTATGAATTGTAACTTCTTTTGACTCACGATTTAATTACTAAGACGTGATTGTTTTCGATATTTGGTTTTATGAGCATTCTAGAACTAGAGAAAATGAAGGTTGCAAATATGCTATATTATATTCAGGGTTGAGCAGATGAAAGGGCTCAATGACAAAGTTTAAATTGTGAAGATATTGCCCAAATGGAGAGACTAAAGTTGATAACGATAATTGATTGTCTAGTTGACCAGCCTCGGATCTACGATTTTTTCGAAACGGGGCAGAAACTCTCTCCAACGTTTAAGATAAATTACTTAAAAGAATTCACGTCAAGGTCATGTCATCAACATGTACGTGTTTCTAGGCAGTTACTAGGCATTAATTATACCTACTACGAAAATAATTTGTTATTTAGATTCATAATATATGTTTTAACTTCGCACATCTTACGAACGGCTATCTAATTCCAAACAATGCAGACCCTCTACTATAGTAACTAGACTTTACCAGACTGCTGATAAACATACTTATATATTTCTAAGCACATACAAATTATAGATAAAGTGCACTCAAACACAAAGTGAATGATTGAACTTACACAAAAAAATAATCCTGGATGAGTAACTAGCCCACGACCTCTGGGTTAATAGACAGGATCGCTAGCCACTAGAGTAACAGCCCCCCGTGTACTCGTACTTTGATGCTGAAATAACAAAAAGAATACAATTATCGAGCAGGTATTATATTATACTTACATCAGTTATTATACTTATTAAATGTCTTGTAATGTCATGTTATCTCGATGATGTTCTGTATTTTTTGCATATGTATATGACTGTGTATAATCTTAGATGAAACTGTCTCTTACCATGCCGTGGCAACTTGTAAGTGAAACAACACTCAGCACATCATTGTAAAACATGTTTGTAAATTATTATATTAGTGTATCTTTTGTAAGGTGTTTTAAATAAACAAATAAATAAACTATTTCAATATTAAAGACTATTTAGCAGATAAATTAAAAACAAAACTAACATTGAGTTTTATGACGAATCCTTGACACACACTTCATATTAGAATCCAATTGCATTTTTGATGGATTAGAATTAAGTTGTTGTAATATTAACATATAAAGTGTTCCATTTAATAGCTTTAATTCTGCATAAACGTACTGCATGAAAAATGTATTTCTTTTGAGACTAGCTGATTTGGAAAACGTTGTTCTGCCATATTAATAATCAAGGCAATCGCGATTAATAAATTCAGGGTAGAAGGATAAAGAATACTTTACGACCTATTCTCTATAGCTACCAAATACACAAATTTAATATTTCGGAAGAGTATGAAAAGTGTGGCAAAAGATATTTTTATATATTAGATTTTCACGCTATTCTGGCATAACGTATTTTACATGTTTAATAATATTTTATATGTATTTGACGGGCCTGTAGGGCTAGTGGTTAGTGGCCCTGACTGCTAAGGTCGTGGGTTCGATTCCCACCCAGGACAAATATTGTGTGATGAGCACGGTCGTTTGTTCTGTGTCTGGGTGTAATTTATCCATAATATGTATGTATTTAAAAATTTATAAGTAGTTTTTTAGCAGTCTGGTTACCATAGCACGGGCTCTGCCTTTTTTTGATCAGACGGCCGTGTGTAAGATATATTATTATTAATGTTAAGTACCAATAGTAGGGGAGCCCGTGATGCTAAATGGGGATTTACTTGAGCGTCATTGAGACTTATTGCATTTGAAAGATTAGGTAATAGAATGAATAAAAGTTACATAATGTTCAAACTTTCAGCAGTGGAAGAAGCTTCTACAGGTTTTCAAAGGTGTAAGGGAAGAAAATGGAAAAAAAATCGTGACCATTAGATATTTTCGGGATATGTTATTTGGATGCCGAAAATGCTTCCATTGAAAGGTCTGCCGATTTTAAAGTGACAGAAGCTCGTAGCGAATTATCGAAAATACAAACTTCAAATTCGATATATCACTATTTTGAAATACCCGAGCGTGAAGATTTTATAGAGACATTCCGCTTAATTTTCCCGTCATGCTAGTAAAAAATCTGACTATAATTTTGCAGGGTATTTTAAATCTGACGGTTGGTATTTTTTTTTAACAAATTGTGACAAATAGAGGCACATAAAATTAGTAGACATTTAAAAAATATTTCTTGCATTATTTGCTTCAAAATAAAAAAATGTCAAGGACATGTGTTTATTTTGGAACTTTGTGAACCACCCACTGCCTTATGTCACACTCAAATCGTCAGATTATTTTTATTATACATACTAATGTGTATCTAACTTACCCAACTTCCCTTAATCTTACACGCTCGAGTATTTCTGACGACCGACAAATCTGATGGGCTGCCCTAGACGCTTGGCCCTATATATAGGGCTCATGTTTGGTGGTAGTACTCAACTGGATGTAAAGTATTCCTCCTATCTTAATCTGACATGCTCGAGTAAATCCCGATATCCCTTCTAGGGCTACTATAAAATCTGCAACCATTTTCTTGGAAAAAAAGAGATTGCTTTTATTCTATCATTAATATAAAAAAAATAAAAGAATAAAATGCATCAATGATATTTTACGCAGGTAGATCAATTTGAGTTTAACCGGTTTGAGACTGACAGAACAAAACAGCTTCAGGCTATTTCCAACTGAGATTCAATGCTTGTACCAGTTTGGAGGCTCGATATAAAAGCGAGAGTAGTTGCTCCAAAAATTATTACAAGATAATCATTCGTCATAACAACATGTTCACCAAGGTACACAGTGATTTAATTTATAACATTCTATGGATTTTTCATAGTGCGTTTACATAGTAGATTTAGAACTACAACTAGTCTAGACTGCTGTTTTCAGTGTTACACTTCAATGTTACACAATTCATTGTTTATTAAAAAATTATGGTTGAAAATGTTTAATTTCATTTATTTCAGGTCGTATTCTTCTTGTGCGCTGCGGGTATCGCTTCTGCCGGCAACCTGCTACATGCTGCGGCCCCGCTGACTTATAGCGCGCCCGTCGCGTACAGCTCGGCACCAGCTGTCTCCTCTGTGTCATTCTCCAGCCATTCTGCACACGCTCCCGTCGCCACATACGCTTCTGCCCCCGTCTACGCCCAGACCTATGCCGCACCTGCTCTCACTACTTATGCCTCGGCCCCCGTCATAGCCAAGTCTTACAGTCCGGCTGTATCCTACCAGTCCATCTCTTCTCACTCTGCTCCCGTTGCGTACGCTAAAACCATCGCCTCGCCAGCTTTTGCAACATACTCTGCTGCCCCTGTGTACACTAAATCTATTGCCCCCGCTGTATCTTACTCGTCCATCTCCCACGCAGCTCCTTTGACATATGCAGCAGCTGCTCCCGTAGTCGCAAAGACCTACGCTGCTCCTGCCATCGCTTCCTACTCCGCTCCAATTGTAACCAAGACAGTCAGCCCCGCTGTATCCTACTCATCTATTGCACACTCAGCACCTGTTGCCTACGCCGGTAGCCCTCTTATCACCAAAACCGTTTCAGCTCCCGCTTACACAACATATGGCGCTGCTCCCGTCCTGAAGTCAGCTGTCACATATTCAGCTGCTCCCGCCGTCTCCCATGTTACTTACTCAGGTCTCGGTGTCAACTACGGCTGGTAAACTATTGATTATTAATAATATGTTGCTAGTCCGACAATGACTGTTTATATATACATAACGAGTCCAAAATAAATTATTGAAATTTATGTGTCGTATTTTTAATGTTATACTATCTACATCTACATACATACTACGTAGAGTGAAATATTGTAACCGCACGTTTTGTGCACCGTCAGGTACATAGCTTATCGTAAGATAATCTTGTTATAGGCGCACCCGCGTTTCCAATGTTGTTCATTGGAAAACGATGTTTATTGGATAGAATATATCCTTAAGTTATTTAACAGTCATTTCTAACACCTAGACGACGGGATTATACCAGGAAGGAAGTGAGAAACAAATCGGAGATTTTGTCAAATTTTATTCACCTTGAAACTACTTAATGAAACATACCATACTAACTTAACAAGCATTTCTTACACCATGCAAACGAGACAAAGTAGTTTTTATGGGCCGCAGAAAATTTATTTTTTTACAATGTATTGTCAAACATTATTCAACTTTAAATGTAAATAAGAGGTAAGTTTAAACTATAAATTATATGAAAAAATCAAATGGCGTGAGGATTCTATGGGGGGGTCCATAGAATCCTCACGTTCAAAGAACGTTCACGAACAAAGTTCCTTTTTTTTTGATAGACGTTCGAACTACACTAGATATTTTATAATAAAAATTATAATGACTGTATTGTATTGTACTGTATATGTATAAAATAAATAATGATAAACTAAACACTGAGGCCTATGCCCAGCAGTGCACTGCGATAGGCTGATGATGATGAAACACTGAATAATCTGGGATAATTAAGTTATTCGGCGCATAGATAAAAACTCTTAAAAAACGGCGCTTCAAAAACTCAAAAAGTTTTGCACTCAAATGCGATTGGTGATGGAGCTCAAATTTTGACACAGAGATGGTTTTTATCTATTTTTTGCAACCACAATGTGCTACAGCGAAAAATTATAAACCATAAATTTCTTACAATGCCTACAAAAGTTAAACCTACCACTAAACTATCATCATAACTAAACTATCATGAGTACATTGCTATAAAAATCTATAAGGCGTTGACAACAATTAAGCTAAATGTTAATAGGTATGACTGAATTTATAAAATTTAGGTTCACCAGTCAAAAACAGTGTGGTAAAAGGATATCATGATAAACGTGTTAAAATAACGATGATTATCTCATAACCACTTTTACTAACTATAGGTTTAGGCGTGAATGTGTAACAAATAAACAAACAAACCAACTCAATTTCACATTTATAAAATAAGTATTGATGTTGTTGGGAGAACCTGTGCAGCTGAAAGATTGTTGTTCAAGATTGTTGTCTTATTGTTGGAATGAATGCACAATGATGCCAACTAAAAAAGTGACACAGAAACTGTGGACAAAACTCTACAGGACTTTGTACGCTGTGAAAGGTCAACGCTAAACTCACGCTATTCTTGCCTGCTGATCCTCCATAAACTCCTTAGAACACATACGCAAAGTGTTAAGTAAAATTGTGAATTAGAAAGAAATAATAAATTAATCACTTTGAATAACTGGAGTATCCCTGATGTGAGTAATTCGCTTGTACAAATACATTTTTTTAAAAGATTTGATGTTCTGTGCATTGCTCTCAACCGATGTCCATTTCTGTATAATATGACGTCCTGAGTTTGACGATTGGCATCGCATAGTGTTACATTATTACATGTCCGTGTCCGTGTTAATTGTCCGTGTGGTGACGGATTAAGAATACAGAGTGTCACCACCCCTATTCATCCCGTGGGTGTCATAAGAGCCGACTAAAAAAAAAACTACGCAGAACAACAGCACTGCAGAGAGAAGGAAAACTTGACACAAACCCTATACCAACCCGTCTGGCCAGCGTGGTACAGTAGGCTAAAACCTCCTTTCTAAGGAGAGGCTTATGTCCAGCAGTGGACTATTAAAGGCTGTTGATGATGATTACGTGAAGGAACGAGACATTCTTCAACACTACTAATGTTATCACCTTCCTGTACAGCATTCGCTTCGCTGTCAAACTTGTGTAATTGTACTCAATGGATCGTTTGGATGCGTTGTCAAATGGATGGTGTGACCACCATCCATTTGACAACGCATCGAAATGAATAACTATTACAAGAACATTTTGGATATTTATTTACTCTTAAAGGTAAACATTCCTACAGAGTTGGTATATCCTAGTTGGCTTAAGATTAATCGTAGTTTCAGTACTTTTTCACCCACATACAGTACTTTCTAAAGACGCAAGTATATGTGTGTGATGTATACATACATTCACATCTTTATCTTTTAAATAGAAGACAGAGACGTGTTAAATGTCTTCATATCTTACCAACTATAATTTCAACCCCGCTTACGTAATAGGGGGCAGTCCGGGCACGTTTTTTTACATATTTTTACATTATTCATTAATTCATTTAATTATATAATAATAATATTTTCGGACATCTGACACATCATGCCATCTAGTTTCAAACTAAGCAGAGCTTGTACTATGAAAGCTAGATTGACTAATAGAATACTTTTTTTGTAAATACAATTATATTATACATAGAAAACTCCTAAACTCCGAAACAAACATTTGCAGATCATACAAACATTTGGTCTAATGCGGGAATCGAACCCGAGACCTCAACACAGCAGTCGCAGACATTACTACTGCACCAATGAGGCAATCTTTATGTATACACTTAAAATATACCAGAATATGAGTTACAAATATAGATAAATACTTTATTTGTACACCAATGTTTTACCGACATTATACAGTAATTAACGACCAATGTAATGTACAAAGGGCGGCCTTATCGCTTAGTGCAATTTCTTCCAGGCAACCTTTGGATGGATTCATTTTGAAATGGTGATAGGTATACATAAATTAGAGAAGTAAATAAGGTCTTAACCTATAAAATATTTTTTTATACATAAATACTACTAATCTATATTTATACATAAATACTATACATAAATACGTTAATATATACATACGCTAATTTTCAACTATTAGAGACAGATAATGCTCATATAGCATAGTCTTGAAGGTGGTTACGGTTTGCGCACGTCTGATAGAAACCGGCAAGACATTCCATAAACGTACAGCTTCTTCGGAAAATGACTTTGTGTAGAAATTGGTAGAATGCCTTGGTATTTCCAATCTCAGGCTTTCAGAGGACCTCAGACATTTCATATGTGTGTCATGAAGGAACTTAAAGCGTTCTTTGAGTCTAATAGGAGTTAATGGATTAAACAGTATATTATACAGAAGCGTAAGGATATGAGTATTCCGGCAAAGGCGGATCGGAAGCCACCTGAGCTTTTTACGGTAGTGGGAAACATGATCATATTTGCGAATTCCAAATATGAATCGTATACAAAAATTTTGGAGACGCTCAAGTTTATCAAGATGTGCTTCGGTGAGATCGAGATAGCTAACGTCGGCATAGTCAAGAATCGGAAGAAGGAGCGTTTGTGCAAGTGCAGTTTTAGTAGTAGTCGGAAGAAAGTTTCGTAACCTTCGCAAAGATCCCGCTGCAGTCGAAAACATACTGACAGGTGCATGGGTGTATATCTGTAAATCATCAGCATACAGGTGGTAGGATGCAAGTAAATGATTGGAAATAGAATTAATAAAAATTGCGAAGAGTAATGGAGATAGAACGCCACCCTGTGGGACACCGACAGTTGCATTACACCATAAAGAGAGGGAGTCTTCAAGTCGAATGCGATGCTGACGCCCAAACAGGTAATTGTGAAACCAATCAATTGCCCCTGGAGATATGTTAAGAGAGCGAAGAATACCAAGGAGAATATGGAAATCGATGGTATTAAATGCGTTACTGAAGTCGAGTAAGGATAATACCGTTACGTTTCCACTGTCCATATTTCCTCTAATATCATCTGTGATGTGGACTAATGCTGACACTGTACTGTGTCCTGCACGGAAGCCAGACTGAAAGGGATTTAGGAGATTGTTACTTAACAGAAACTTGTTGAGTTGATTATAAACAAGACGTTCAAGAACTTTAGAAAGGAATGGTAAGATAGATATAGGGCGACAGTCGGAGAAGGACGAAGGTTTCGATTTTTTTGGCAAATGAATAATTTCAGCTGCTTTCCATGCAGATGGAAAGACGCCGTATTATAAGGAATGGTTGAAAATGTTACATAGGATAGGAAGAATATCATCAAGGATGGGGACAAACATATAGACGTATATCTCTTACAGACAACCTTAAACCGGATATTAGGTATTTAAATATATTTTTTGTAGTTTACATGCATATAACACACTATCGCGTTCATACACATTTATATATACACAGACTAAAATATATACTATATAATATATAATAAAACCAAAAGTATTTAACTTTTATAAAACAGACAAGGTTTTAGCTTGTCGAATTGTCTCAGGAAAGTAGTTGCAAAGTCTGCAGTTGCAAGTTTTGCTGTTGTTTAGCAAAAGATTTGTCTGCAACTGGATGAAATGTTTTGGTATTTTTAAGTTTAAATTATTATGTAAAGTTTGTTTAATTATGTCCATGCTTTAAGGTTAAAATGATATTTGACAATGTTCAACTTTTCTATCATATTTAATAATATTCCTATTATTATAACTGCTATTAGGTTTTCCATAGAGCACCATTTACCAACGATTTATGTCTATAAAAAGTATTGTACTCCATGTGTTCTTATTTCGATTTCAGATATAGCACCGTTTAAAACACTGGTGTGATTCAATTATAAAAAGCCAGCCAATACACCGAATTTGGCAAATAGTATACTATATCAGTATAGTATACCAGTCTTTACTTACGCTACTCTAATGTGTACGGTACTAAAAACTGTGATGCCGTCTTCCGCAAAACCTACGGTATCTCTAGTTAAACATGACCTATGTGCACACCGTGTGGTTTTAGTCGGTCCGAGTCTGACACACCACCCCGCCGCAAACCCCGGTGGGGTGACGGTCCGAGGGGATTTCCACACGTTAAAAAAAAAAAAAAAAGGGTTTATTTTAACAAGAATGCGAGTCATTTAATGTGCTCCTCATCCGGTATATTTTATGTAGTAAACCTGATGAGTTTTATAGCAAAGAAATGGTTAAACTGATAACCGATAATATACAGTCAGATCGGGCTAAATTCACTTTCACAAATTCAAAAGCATTGTATTTTAAAATAACTTTGTATCTTAGAGTACGCATTGGTTTTGCAAGTTATTTTCGAATAATGCTTTTTGGAGCTATTACTGTCGCTTTTATAGTAGTATATGCAAACTGGTATTTAGAATTGAATCTCGAATGAGCGCCCAAAATGGTTATTTTGGGCGCTCATTCAGGCCTTCAGGCCGAAACCACTCAACCTTTAAACAATATTACGAGTTCATATTGTGTTAGTTATAAAATATATACGTTTATAAATATTTCTAATACTAAATACTACTACTACTCGAACTAAATCAATTTTTTTTAGGAATGCTTTATGGAATGTTATAGATAACTTGGTCTATTCAATTTTTTTTCACTTGACCTGACCTGGAATTGTGATTAGTATAATATTTTATTTATGAAATCGATGGCAAAGAAGCCTTTTAGGTCACCTGATGGAAAGTGACTACCGCCAGCTACTAGGAATTAAATAAGGAGGAAAAGAAGGTCTTGACCTACTTTACCACGCTGGCAAGACGGTTTGGTATAGGGTTGTTTCAAATTTTCCTTGTCTTTGAAGTGCTGTTGTCCTGCAGATCTTGCTCCGTTAGCCAGTATTTACGACACAAACGGGATGAATAGGGGTGGTGACACTCCGTATTCTTAATCGACACGGGTAGTTATATACTACACAATTAATTAAATATTTGGGATATTGAGACTCTCTAAAAGCATCCTTATGATTTTATCCATTGCATCAATTATGGGATCTCTCTTAGCATTCAGTTGTCAATACTACTTGTATTGTATATTAATAACCCTAACAACATTCATATCACTAGTGGCTTGCCATATTTCGAGGCTCAGAGGTTTAAAGTACCATGTGGGCGAAGTACTCGTAAGTAATTTCTGCTCGAAATTATGCCACTCTACCATAATAGTCTAAGTAGCTAACTAGCAATCACAAAACTACATCATAGTAGAATAAATATAATAGATTAGTACATTATTTTAACATATCGTCCATTGTATGTATATAATTACGTTTTCTCTCTCACATCAACTATAGAAATAAAAACTAATCGTACAATACAATGTCGAAGATACTGAATACAGGAACATAACTAAGTGCAAATTTCGGGAATTCCGAGAAAATATGTATTTAAACGATTTATGTAAAAGAAAGTTCCATTTTTTATCAAAGTAAGTGTTAATTTTTAATATATTTTTTTGAGAACAACTCCAAGGTTTTTCTTCCTAAATTTAAGATACATAAATTATTCAAAAATCTATAGGTATGTTTATTATACAAATAAGTATCCTCTTGTGTGAGGTTTAGTTCAATTTTTTAAAATTCGATCCAATGACAGTTAAGACTGGATCGTTGGAATGCAGTCACTTGTGTAATAAATCACAAAATTCATTTCAAATACTCTGTAAGCAAATCTCAAGTTTCTGACCACAAACTCATACCAATGATAAATGATACGTATTTCTGTTATTAAAGCTTTTCAGATATTTTTACAAGTTGGACTTTACAGCTACTCACTCTGGAAACAAACGCCAAAACAAACCACAGAGGTGTCATTTTTTACCTCTTTTTGATGTTGCCTGGTAAGCTAAATATTATTTTAATGCCAGAATAGCGCTAATTTATAAAGATTGTGAAAATACTCTTATTTGCAAACAGGTTAAATATGTTTTAAAATTATACGATCGTAAGGAGCAACATTCAAATGTCAATTTTATAATTGTGTATGTAGGTGAATCACCTTACCTGATTTTATTTATAATAAATTTATTTTAAAACCATTAAATAATATTTTAATTTGTAAAATTATCAGGGTCATGTTAAGAAACTGATTAGAACTAATGAATAAATATAGTTTTATGATCATTTCAGTGAGTTAAAAAATACCCCAAAATGAAACAAAAAAGCGTAATGTCAAATATTTATTAATCAACAAGAAAATATTAAAATTATTTAAATAGACAGTCTTTAACAATAAAAGTTGATTTAATATTCATACTTAAACCCGTTCCCGCTAAACCTAACGCTCGAAACCTCAGATGAAGGAGAGAATACTACGTCTTTTGAATAACCACCATACTGTGGAAGGACGTTACTAGCAAGTCCATACCCAACAACACGGTCTTTATAGTTATACCTGACATGACCCTCATCGTTGGGATACACTACTACTGGTACTGGAATAGGTTTTGAGCCCAGAGCGTGATGACTAACTACTGCCTGAGCTGATTCGATTGGCTTATTCACCTCAACGTACTGTGGTGAAGATAAACTTTCAGTATTGTACATAACAGGAATTAAAACTGTCCTAGCCACAGTTGGAGATGAGGCGTAATTTAGTTGAGGGATACCGTGATGGTTTATGACGGGCGTGGAGGACAAAGTCACTAGGTGCTTAATCAGCGGAGCTGCAGGAGAATTTGCTACCACCTGCATATTACGAATAGGCGCTACTGTGGGAGAAAGTGGATGGGTTATAATATATTTGTGAGCTTCTATATTTGCAGTGTTAATAGGTTTACTAACATTTGTTTTTACTTGTTTTATAGGAGCGAGAATGTACTGAACATGTTCAGGAGGAACAGAAGTTTGGATCTGTTGTACCGAAGGCGATAATGTTGCCGGGTACTTTAAATAACCCCCGGATGAAGGTTTAATTGCCACTGTTTCATAATGGTGACCTGTTTGTGAAGAAGCAGGATAAAAGTATACAGGAGATGCGACGGAAAGTGGAGGTGCACTTGGAGGATGCGCAAAGATATATTGCTGAGATTCAACAGGTACTTCTTTCATTGCAACTGGATAAAAGAAGGGGGGTTTTGCTGCCCCAGTTGGAGGAGTAACGTAGAGCACTTTAGAATGATATCTGATTGATGGTGAAATTGGACGTGGCTGTGATTCAGAAGTGACAGAAGCACCTGATGGTTGGTGAACCGTCACCAATTCTTGGTTTGGATTTTGATAGTCTTGCGAGTATCCAACTGGAGCTGAAATATACTGATTTGGAGTAGGTTTTACGACAGTTTGAACATATTGACGGAGCGGTTGTGTGAGCACAGGCACAGGGATATTTGACACACGATTAGTAGTCGGGGGATGAACAGTCACATGTTGGTGACTTTCTACAGGTATTTTCTTTTCTGCGCTGGGTTCAGTTATTGCGCTGATAGCATCTGGATTATTGCTTAGTATATGATACAATCGAGAATAAAATAGATTTGCATTTGAAGATGTTCCAGAGTTTTCAGCAGCACTGGCTATTTGTTGAACCTGTTCTTCACTTGGCACGTCTTGATAAGGTTTCTGGCTTGTGATTTCTATTCGTGGGGAAATAGTGGTTGAAGAAAATTGTAATTGCGTTGAACTGTCATCTTTTAAATCACTTGATAATGCAAGGCCTGTGAAGGTCAACAGCAAAATCCACTGAAAAAAAAAATACATTTTAAAATATTTAAATTCTAATTTAATTAAAATATGGTATAAAATAGCCAATACCTGCTTGAGCATCTTCAATCGGTTAGAATTGATGACAAAATAACATCAAAAATGCATACGTTCACTTTTATACCATCCTCACATAGTGGTATTTCCTACTAAAAGATGTTTTATGTAATATGCATTTATATTTTAGAAGGCATTAAGGAAACATTATTACGATCTTTTTTATAAGGACGCTTTCAAATCTTGATATTTTTACAAACATGTCACACACAAACACATTCGAAAACTGACCCTTGAACTTGAACTTAACAAAAGCTCCTAAAAATGTTAGCAGTGACTTATTTTAATATGCGTTATATTTAGACGGATAGTTTATAGTATAGACAGACAGACAGATGGTTTACCTGCAGGTAAGTGACAACCACCGCCCACAGACATGTACAACTCAAAAGACACAAGTGCGTCGCTACGTTGTTTGCTACCTTTGAATTGAAACAATCAAATATATTATTACGATGCGCATATATGAGATAACTTAGATACAGACTTCTAAAAGGAAATATTATTGAATTCTTGTTGTTCTTAATAATTCGTCATATTAAACAGCTGAGATACCTACCGTATGTGTAGAAAGGTTATGTAACATTGAACTATCAAGATTTTGAGGTTCCTTTTGATTGTATAATCTAATTATGCGGTAAACTTGACCTGCACAAGTATTGCAAACGTTTTCAACTTTTACGTGTATAGTGAATTTAGAAGTTCTTGGGCAAAACAAAATCGTAAATGATTGAATTAAAAACTAGAAAAAGATACATTAAAAAAATGGCTTTCCCTTATAGTTCTAGTGAACAGTGTTGAATCTCAAAAAAAATAGTGACTAATTCAAGTGCAAAAATATATACTAATTCATTATTACACAAAAATAATACAACCAATCAATTCAGAAAAAGCAAATTAAGAGGGCTTCAAAGCCTGTTTTTAATTAATCAGAGCCTCTTGCAAATTTTACTGGGATAAAAACTAGAAAGATTTTTTTCTACAAAGATTCGTATACTTAATAAGTATTCTCTTTGTATTATATTAGTTAATTTAAAAAACATCAAAAGAAGGTCTTAAAATATTTTTTCTCTTCGCACGTACAAACCATCCCGTCTGTGACCTCAATTGGTATTGGCACTTCAATCGAAGTGACCTTTGACCTCATTAATATTATTACGATTGCTATTAGATTGATGCGCATATATATTATTGATCTTTTAATTCATCTTATACATCTGTATTAATATTATAAAGAGTTTGTTTCGGTAATCTCAGGAACTAAGTACAGGATCGAATTGAAATATTTTTATAGAGCTATTTATCGAGGAAGGTTATCTAACGACGAATTGGAGCGAAGTGTTATTGAAAAATGTTGCAAAAACGGGGATTTTTTTTTTGAAAGGCGCAGACGAAATTGTGTAGGTCGCAGGAAGCCGTGGGAGGCGGGCAGCACAGGAACTGTTATTGTGGAGAGCCTTGGAGGAAGGATATTTCTTCTTTCGGCTGTAATGATAATGATGAGACGGAGTAGCGCGGGTCAAATAATACATAATATGTATGTATTTTCTTATGTTATGTCATGCTCATTGGACGTTACAATGTAGTGTGCTAGTACAACATACATACAACTAATTCAGTGAGCATGATATGTAAATTTTATAATTTTATTTAACAATTTAATTTCATAATATATAATAATACACATAAGTAAGTATTTGTATTAACTGTACATTGGTAATGTGCACAAAAAGTATTGTGAATGCCGGTATTAGGAAACCTGATATTTTATTTATAACCACTCGTATTCACTCATTTCTTAAGTTGACTTCGTAGAAAAATATGCGACAAATGTTTCGATTAGTTATGGATATTATTTTTTGCGATTATCTGTGTCAAATTCATAATATTAAAACATTTTCAATAAAATACTAAATCTATGTTTAGTTTTAGATTATATCTGAATTTTATAGATAGTAATCATTTATATTAATATTACATTACTATTTCAAGAAAAGTTTCGAGTAAAGTCGGCTTATTAAAGTAGGTTTGATATTTAATTGGGTAAATTGCCAAATAAACTCTTTTACTTGATAACAAATAAAAATAAGAGAAACCGACAGTACGTTGAGAAACTATACAGTAAATATAAAAACACCTACGAAAATCGGATGCCTTGAAAAAAAATGTAAAGTTAGGACATTAATAGTCTGCTGGACATAGGCCTCTCCTTAGAAAGGAAGTTTTAGCCTACTATAACACGCTGGCCAGACGGGTTGGTATACGGTGTGTGTCAAGTTCTGCTTCTCTGTGCAGTGCTGTTGTCCTGCGTAGTTTGCTCCCTTACAGTCACCTTTTACGACACCCGCGGAATGAATAGGAGTGGTGACATTCTGTATTCTTAATCCGTTACCACACGCAAAACAACAACAATTGACACAACAACGATTGACACAGAAACTAAAACTATAACCACAAACTGATTAAATTTATATAGATAATCACCTGATTGTCCAGAACTATAATAATATCTAATATTTTTAACACGGTCACAATGTATTTTAAAAATTTCTGTTTGAAAGATATACGATATATAAGTGCTATGGAATTATGACAAATTTTAATATGATATCATATGGAAATAAAAATATGTAAATATACAAACTTTTACACTTTGGTGTTCGATAACATATACCTACTTACATAAATATGTGCAAATTAACGCGATCACGTAACAGTTATTACATACGAAACTTTTTTTTCTCTTTATTTGTTTTTTATTATTTATTAGGGATTTTATGTAATTGTACCTACATGTTATTCCCATCGTACCTCATACAAATAGTTAAATTACAAGTTAACTCGATAAATTTTAAATCAAACTTAGTTATATGAACTTATAAATGCAAAAGGCGGTTTTTAAAGTCGTCGCAGATAATACACATGTGGTGGAACATACCAATTACCAACCTTTAAATTGACTGATGATGTTTCGACCAGATTGCACTGGCCGTGGTCACAGACTTCACATTCAATAGTATGAAATATCTATTAATATACATAATTATATAATATATAATATAATTTAATACATTTAATTTATCTGCTTTTGACTAAATCTAAATATATGTGCATACTGTTTAGCTTCTTACATTTAGTTATTTTTACGTAATATTAGTACAGATGACATAAAACACACAAAGCAATATGAATTGAAGCGTCTAGCGTGTTAAAACCATGAAAAGCTCAAATGTCACTTACACACATTGAATAAATTAAAACAATAAAAATAAACGTTCAGCGAATCAACGATCTTCAAAGGAAAAACGGTCGCACAGAATTGGGCTATACAATATTTTATGTTTTTAAAAATAAATTAACGTATCGACGTCCCCCGCGAATAATCCGGTAATGACCTATTACGGAGTTTTTCATGTTATGCGTTTTTCGGCATCTAGAAGTTAAAATACACACAAATAAGAAAAGGGTATGTTTTGACCTTTTATTGTTATTACAAGCTTTTACTAAATATTTTTAGGTGTGCTATGTGCGTTAATTTCAAATATTGCAAGTTTTGAACCACTTCCCGATGTCTGATTAAGTTGAAATTTTCTATACCGTAACTATAAATATTGTCAATGTTGGAAACGAAATAAAACGTTTTAAAGATTGTAAATTTGATATGCCAATTGAGTGTTTCCCGTTAGATTACTTGAAAAAACTTTGTTACATTCAGAATTAACGACACCCTTAAAAGAAACAATAAATTATTAAGAACCAAAAATTATAAAAAGAAAGTTATTAGAGTATGTAAGTAATTTATAAAGTAGTCTTTCATACCGAATAATAAAACTATTTAACAAATATTTTGTTTAATTTGTCTTCACCTGTTGTGACAACCCTACCAAAATAGGTCACATTTTGCACGTTCTTAAGAAGCTTTGTCTCTGTTCCGTTTATTTACTCATGTGGTTACGAGCGAGTCGCCGATTAGAGCAGGGTCTCAATTCTGCTATTTTATGTTCACGCCAAGCCACTGTCATAACACTGACACACTATTGAGATGCCATCGAGTGGCCATTGGCAACGATATAAATATCGTTAGTCTACACTAACTCAGTGTCTTTACAGTGGCAATAGAATGGCAGAGGCTCATCAGTGGTGATATCAAAAAGATTGCCATATTTGGAAAAATAAATAAATCATTTCCTTATAATTTGAAAATGTATTACGTTTATTTTGGTCTAGTAAAGTAAAGTTGTTAAGGATTTATCATATTTATTGCTACAAATGTATAAAATACAACGACATAAAACACCGTAATTAATAGAATTATCGTTGCTGTTTTTGTTGTTGTTTAGTCAGTGTAGACTACCGATATTTATACCGATGCCAATGGCCACTCGATGGCATCTCAATAGCGTGTCAGTGATATGACAGTGGCTTGGGGTGAACATATTATAAAATAGCAGAATTGAGGCCCAGGTTCATTACTCAATTATTTATAATCGGTGGGAATCGAACCTGCGACCAACAGCCTAGTCATGAAAATGCTGAGCTTATATGAGTATCACAATGTTTATGGCTATTCATCACATTAATAAAGTATTACACAAATTAGAGTTAAGTAAATTTCTGACCGAATGAAGTTGCCTACAGAAGACAATAGTTAGACAGCACTACCATGGTAATACTGTTGTTTTTTATTTAAAGGTCTCAGAGAGCTGAAGAAAGCGTTTAAAGCGGTGAATGACACCATTAAAGTAAAAAAAAGCCGTGTGGTTTCGTGGGACACCCGGTAGGAACGAAGTTGTGACGATCGAGTAAAACTGATTCGACACGATTTTAATTACAACGCCATCTATGAAAGCGGCTATTACCTACATATTTTTCAGTTGGTTTCTAATTAAAACAATTTATACATTTATAGATGGCGCTGAATGACTGACAAGTGACAATTCAAAATAAAAAGTGTCGTTACAACTTTTCGTGAGATTTTTTCCCGTCTAGCCCCCTTTCACAACGCGCGATAAGGAACTTCGTTCCAAAATCCAGTATCCACTCCTGCGTCCGGCGTCATTGAGCGTGAGAACTGTAATAAGAAACTTGCGAGTGTGTGTATCCAAAGCAATTCAAAGAAATTCTTCGCGATATTCTTGCTCAAAGTATGGAGCAAAGCAAAGTTGTAGTTAAACTCCTCCTTAATACATAGGTGCCAAAATTATGACGATTTTTTCGTTTATAACGTTTTTTCAAAATTATAACAATTTACAACCCCTTTCCCAATCGCTTCAAAAAAGGTCACTTTTTGCATAAGTCGACAGATACACTGACAACATATCTAAAGGACATCATTCAAAATATACCCAAAAATTAAAGTGCCGGCCAGTAAAAAAAACTGTGTCATCTTACGGCAAATGATCTTTTAAACATTTTTTATTATTACAACAAACGTCTACGACCAACTTTTAGACCCAAATGGATCTCCGAAAATCATAAAATGAGCATTTACATTTATGTATCAGTTAACTATATCTGAATAATTAAAAACCTAAACAACGCTAGACCGTCGAAATGAGACCTGCGGAATTATAACATATGAATAAAGCCACGTAGGTAACGAAATGAAGTCTTTTTCTTTACATATATTTTATAACACTAATACCTACACATAAATACCTACGTAGGTACTTAAGTACCTAATGATGATTGTATATAATTAGGCTTTTTGTCATATTATATTATTATTAAGCGAGGTTAAGTTATTCTTTATCATCATTATTTGATTTTTGCTATAGTAATGAAGTAAAAATTGTTCAGACGAACTCGTATAAATGCATTTTTTTATTATTTCTAAGTCATATAACTCATAAGTAATTGGTCTTAGCTCTTAGCCGTCTAAAGAAAAAATCTTAGAATGTCATTCTCTAACCGATAAAACCATTTTTTTTCGTTGGCCATCAATTTTTTTTTGGGTACTTTTTGTATGGAGCGTGAATGATATCCTTTCAACTCTCTAGCACTTTTAGCACAAGTTTTGCAAAAAAACGTTTTTTTTCTACAAATTTTGGGCGATCTGATGGTCCGATTTTGCGCTCCATTCTCTTTGTTGTTTTATTGTGCACTTGTTACATTCAAATTATTTTCGTAGGAGCTTAAGTTTTCGCTCCATATGCGAAAAACTGGATTAAACCACTTTTGACGTGTTTTGGGCACCATAGCTGACAGTATTTTGTTATAATATTTATTGCAATCAATTGATGATAGTTGAATCTTTAAAAAAGAAAAATTCCGCTCCAATATTCGTATATTCGTCTCTGATTGTATTGTAACTGTTTGTACTTAATGTACTGCAAAGTTTATTACGTCACATAGGTATAAAAGGTAAATGTTCCACCTTCTCCTTCTCCTCCTGAAAGCCGTGGCGCCATTTCTATGTTTCCATTAATGAAAACGCGTATTCTTAACAACAGTCCCAATACCTAAGCCATACGAAAAAATGTTCGGATTACTTATACATCAAAAGGTGACTTATCGTTTATCACTCTTTTGCATTAAGTTGGCCCTTGGAAAATCAACCAATCCTGTCATTTGATAAATATAAATTTGTTCAAATAGTCAATTAAATATCTAAAATCAACCTTATGTTTCTGAAGTAGGAAACAAAAAAACAGAACAGGTTATGGCGAGGCGTTTAATTCTTACATTGTCTATTTACAGAAAATCCATTTGATCCAGTTTACCAACCGTAGTGGGCACCGTGTCCACTGTATGCGATGTGGGATACAGCGGGGGCAGCGGAGTACGCGACAGCTGATTTAAGAATGGGAGCAGCGGCGGCGTAAGTGGCGACGGGTCCAGCGGCGTAGGTGGCGATGGGAGCAGCATACGCCTTGGCATACAGCGGGGCGGAGTACGCAGCTACAGCGGGAGCAGCGTATGCGGTGCCGTGAGCGGTGTGGCTAGAGTAAGAAGACACGGAAGAGACAGCGGGAGCGATGGTCTTGGTCACGGCAACAGCAGGAGCAGCGTACGCAGCGGGAGCGGCGTATGCGGCGTACGCGGGAGCAGCGTAGGCGGCCTTAGCCACAATGGGGGCCGCGGCGTAGGTGGCTACAGGGGAGCCGTGCGACGTATGAGTGGAGTAAGAGGAGATGGAGCTTACAGCGGGGCTAATGGTCTTAGTGACAACAGCGGGGGCAGCAGCATAGGTAGCGACGGCAGGTGCTGCGTACGCACTAACTGCAGGGCCGGCAGCGTAGGTCGCAATGGGGCTACCATGAGCCTGGTGGGTAGAGTAGGACGAGATAGAAGAGACTGCCGGAGAAATGGTCTTCGTCACCACAGCAGGGGACGCGATCGCGCTGTATGCAAGTGGAGCAGCGCCATAAAGGCCACCAGCGCGGGCGACTCCCACGACGCAAAGAGCGATGATCAACTGAAATATCAAAAACTATGTGAAACTTGATTGTTGAAAATAAAGAAACATGTTCTACTATCGATTTTTTCTAAAATTCTTAAAGTACTGAACATATAGTTGGGCGAACTAGCTTTACAATTGTTTAGTAATGTCATTTCCTGTTTTAGGAGGCAGTGTTACTAAAGTCATTTAATAATCACACACAATCTTAAAGCTTTTATAAATCACTCCATGCATTTTAGTTTTGAATATTTAAGGGTAAGTAATATTTATTTCACAAACCTTGGTGTACATGTTTATGCTGCAAATGTTGGCAACTGAATAATTTCAACAAGGAGTGCTCCGGTTTTTATACGGAGTGTACATTGTCCAATTCACTTTCATTGCCAAGGTAATCCAGCGTACGGACTGTACTGAGTTATTAAGTGAACCTACGCCTGTGACTCAGAGATAGCCTTTCGATTTCATTTGTTCCGTTTGCGCTTATAGTAGCACAGGGCGGGCTCAGCCTTGAGATACGCTGCTTGCTCTCGTCCTCGTCTATGATATATTGCAGCTCAAATATATGCTAGTTTTTTGTTCATTATGTTACATAAAGGTCAATGTAATCTAAGTTTTAAGTACTAGTTACGTGTTTCGAGCACTCTTGATGGCAATTGTTTTATTGTTGCAAAATTGCCAAGACAAATTTACGTGCACTTGGTAAAAATAATGAAGTGTATATTTGGGAACTAATATTTGTAATCGTAATCTCTATTGCAGAGAATTTAAGAGTTTTAAAATGTCATTACTTCATCAGTACTCAGAAATGTTTACAATTTTTTTCTGTAGATATTACTAATACAAGTAATTTTAAGGATAATTATAATAATTTTGTTTATCTGCCTCAGAAAGGACATTACATTACATTGATGCATAGCAGAGCTGTGTGTAGCATGTGTATATTTGAATCTAATGAAATAAATGACTAATTAAAATATATTACAAAATTATACTATTTAGATACATTAGTAATACATAAACATATTTAATAAACATATAACTACATAAATAAACAATTAACTTAATTTAACTTTCCCACTCAAATTTTTCAACTCAATTACTTTAATTTTCAAAAAATGTTACCAACCGTATTAGGGGTGGTATTTTTTCTATCAATTTGTATGGGGTTAAACAGGCGGTGTGCTAAACCAAATTAATATTATTTTCAGATCGGTTAAAAACAACGAACTTTTTAATTTAAATTTTTTCGTGTCTACTGCGAAATTTGAGCAATGAAACTTTTCACAATTTATAGTGATATAGAAGCATTGAAGTCGGTGAGCTTTTTAATAACTGCTTCTCTCAAAAGATACTCTTTTCATAGGTACTCGGCTCTTTTTGATCGTAGCATGATAAAGCCTATATCCTTTTTCGATAGAAGGACTATCTAACACTAAAAGAATTGTTTAATTCGAACCAGAAGTTCCTGAAATTACCCAGAACATCACACTTACTAACTTTGCCTCTATATAATATTAGTATGGATTTAAAATACCCTTTACGGTAAAACGTTACCACTGTAAACAAAAACGAGGTAGCATACAAGATAATTCAATGTCAGCTGTTACATTAGTTTTACTAATTTTAATTAGTTATTTTTAAGTAAATACGTTCATTGTGAAATCATAAATAAAATGTGTTCGGCTAGCCGTGGCAAATGTACTTTCTTATAGAATGGATTGAGTATAAAGGTGTGGTAACAAAGGCGCCGCAAGTGAATTCTACTATCTTAAACTTAGATCCATTTTTTCACAACAAGCTGTTCAAAAAGAATTATTTAAATGAGCACAGTACAATATAGTTAGTACAGTACAGTATAGCTTACTACAAAGTTATCGACACGTTTTGAGAAAATAAGAACAAAGAAATGATTAATCCGAAACTAAACTGACCGCAACCATTTTGTCTCTAACATCAGAACTATATCCGACAGAAGCAGTTTAAAAGCGTCAGTTCAACTGACGTGTTTAATAATTTACTTTCAACTACATTGCCTGGATTTAAATCTCTATTCCACTGCGACAAAAATTCTAACTCGCGAATGATTCATTCTCATAATTTTGCTATTATTTTTTGCTTTAACTGTATATTTACCATGTCTGGTAAATAAGATTAGTTTAACTACTAATATAAAAAAGATACTCTGGCTAGTAAGGTGTAGTTCCTCTAATTCATTTAGCGTCTGACTTATAGTACTGAATACTCTTATTTATCTACATTATATAAAATACATACTTCAACCATGTAGATATTTACTGTATGTAACTGTATCATCATATTATAGACCATGATGAAATACATCAAGACGCACCTTTAAACTAACTAAAACTTATAACTGTAAATACGTCAACTTAATCCCAAAATAACGGACTTAAACTTATTAAACTGATGTACCAAATGACGTACATACATTAAAGGATTAACAACAACACAAGGTAAAGAAAGTAATAATAGAGATAATTGGGAAATAAGACGAGTCTGTTGGTCTAGTCGACGAGGCTGTTGGTCTAGTGGTTAGTGACCCTGACTGCTAAGCCGGAGGTCGTGGGTTCGATTCCCACCCAGAACAAATATTTGTGGGATGAGCATGATTGTCTGTTCTGTGTCTGGGTGTATTTATCTATAATGTGTATGTATTTACAAATATATAAGTGTGTTTATCAGCAGACTGGTTATCATTGCACAGGCTCCGCCTAGTTTGTGATGTGTGAGGTTTAATAAGGCTTTTAATTATGGCAATAGACAAGTCATAAAGTCGAAAAGGGAATGACAATTGGTGAAGAGTGGTTCTCAAGTGTTCTTAAGAAGTGGAGAGTCGTTGAACGGAGGCTGCGCAACACTACCTACTCCTTATGGAAATGTTTATAGTCTCTCAAAAATCTTGCCATACAAAGTGGATCGAAGAGATGTACTTTCTATTATTGGAAAATAATGATGAATTCAGCAATCTGAAATTAACTTCACCGATTTTGCCCATTAACATGCTCTCAGGTAAAATTAGTTTCTTTAGGTTGCGGCAATATAGTGAGATAATAAAATCGTGTAAATTGAATTTGCCGAACACAATTATGCCGATATATCAAGGACATTCTGCCTTATAAAATACTTATTTCCTTAATGTTACAATTCAGGAACTTATTATTAAAATACTATTGAGGTGGGTTTGTATTTAAGCTAATGTAATTGTGTCAAAATGTATTAATTAATCAAAATGTATAATGTCACATAATGACAATCGTATTTGAACTGTGAATATGTTAAAAAATAAAAACTACCTGATTTCAATAAGTTTACTGAATTAAATTATGTTAGACTAAACCCACAAGAAAGAAAAAAAATTGCACTTTATTTCAAGCATTTTGTCTATTTTTAGTTCCTGCTACTGCCTTGTATATATTTATAAGCAGCAGGGACCGAAGTAACTGTTGTAAAGGTAGTTTAAATAATATTAATTAAAAAATAGTACTTAAATTTAAACACTTTAATTACTTTGAAAATATTCAAAGGAGTTTTTCAAATGTTTTCAATAATTGAAGAATTTCTAGATATTTTCTTTTATCTCTGAACCTTTTTTGTCTAATTCGCTAAGACTAAAACAGCTAATGTAGGTTTTCAAAATTGATAAACAAAGACCACTTCACAATCCAAAACTACTTCAAGATGAAATCACTTTTGTGTGTTCTAAACTTAACATTTGTCAGAATAAACCTCTAGAAATGTTACGATTCTTTGTTATGTTCTACCTAATAATAAGTAAGTTTCTGTCACTATCCGAGTTCAAGGAAGTTCTTGCCAGCTGAAAAAAAGCCTAATATAATCGATTTGATACGTAAAGTACGATAGGCGGAAACGTTATACCTATCTAATAACTTTAAAGTATAAATAATTATGTATTTCGCATGTATATTTGCGTCTCTAATAATTTAATCAAATTTGGTATTTAGATAAAGGTAAGTAAGGTTTTGACTTGTAAGATTTACCTCATCATCATCATCATCAACAGCCTTTAATAGTCCACTGCTGGACATAAGCCTCTCCTTAGAAAGGAGGTTTTAAAGATTTACTTAATTTATTTAAAAAGCCATGCCGAAAAAAATCGAGAACTTCGGGAAAATTCTTTCCTGAAATTCTCGATTTCTTACATTCGTATGTATAAGATGATTAAGTGTGAAATGTAAAGGTATGTGATAATGTTTCTTTTTTGCTCTCTATGATTTAACGATTCAAATTCAATTAGTATTTTCGCCCTAAATGTTTAATTGACATCATTATGTTTTTCATCAATCATCATCAACAGCCTATACTAGTCCACTGCTGGACATAGGCCTCTCCTTAGAAAGGAGGTTTTGGCCTACTATACCACGCTGGCCAGACGGGTTGGTATAGGATTTGTTTCAAGTTTTCCTTCTCTTTGCAGTGCTGTTGTCCTGCTTAGTTTGCTCCCTTAGTCGACTCTTACGACACCCACGGGATGAATTGGGGTGGTGACAATTTGTATTCTTAATCCGTCACCACACGGATAATTATATTTTTACATGATTCCAAATACAAAAATAAAGTTAAAAAACCTGACAAGTGCGAGTCGGACTCGCCCACCGAGGGTCCGTACAAATTTGTACGTACATATAGCTGTAAAGTCCGACTTGTAAAAATATCTGTAAAGATTTGCTTACAGCAATAAATATCATTTAAGTAAAGTACCTAAGTATAAGGGTTATGTTTAATTACAAAATTTTAAATTAAAAACGCAGGTATTCATAACGGTGCAACCTGTTAGGTACTACATATACCAAAATTATTAGTTACCTACCTATGCTTATAAAAAAGGGAAAAGGATTTTTTCATTCTTCGTCATAAATCGATAACTATACATCATAAAAATAATAAAAAATCTGTTTAAGCTTGTGCCAATGAAGTACTTTTATATGATACCCCACATGACACAGATAACTCAATTCAAAATTCGAACCGCCGCCGCGCCGTTCCTTGCATAATGACACCGTTTTTTATGATTTAATTACAAATGCATAGTTTTCAGATTTTTCTCTATTATCGTAGTCTATTACTTGCTACATTTTCGTAGTTCTAATTCAATGAAAATACATATAGTTTCTACGGCACAAACGGCGGTATCTTTTTTTACATTTACTTATAAGTTTGATTTTTTCACAGCTTCAAGAGACTGTAGACCTGAGAATATCGTTTTAATTTCAACCCGATACCCCCACGCGCTCCCGAGATAAAGGGTCTTG